TAGGATCTGCATTAATTTGGTCCAGTTTACACGGTCAAATGCCTTCTGCCAGTCTATGAAGCAAACACACAGTTCTTCATCTATCTCCAAAGTTTGTTCTGCTATAATTCTCATCATCCCAATTGCATCCCTGGTTCATTTCCCTCTTCTAAAAACAAACTGATCTTCTTGAAGTATATCCTCTATTTTCCTTTCAATTCTTCTTTTAAGTATCTTTGCTGTATGTTTTCCAATCTTGTAGCCATGATGTTCCTTCTGATCTTCACACTTTTTCCTGTTGTAACGCCTGCATGACATTTCCTCTAGAAACACTCCCCCCCGGAGATCCGATTGGGGGAGTAGTTTACCTCCGGATTGTTTTGCCTCCAGAGGAAACATCTCGCATATATGGTATCTCTGTTTTTGGAAAGAGACTATCCAGGAAAAGTGATAATGTGGTAGTTTTTCCATTTGCTTTCCACATCGCAGTACAACAGCCGTTCAAACCACTCTGGTCACGCCTGTTGCTATACGAACTTGAACCATCTCGAGCATCATTTGCTCTGTGCTTCAAGTCGCTACTGATGACGCTGCTTCCGGCATCAGTTTTTGGTGTCTCTCTTCGTCTGATGCCTACCCTTTGACCTGTCCAGCAAGGGAGGCCCTGCCAGTAGCTATGCTACCGCTGGTATAGCTCTCAGGGTCCTTGGCATACTCAAACCCCCTCACCACGATAAGGTGGAGACACCAAAGAGGGGGAGGTCTTTTACGAAATTAGAAATTATAGCATGCTGAAAATACTCCGTGACCTTTATATTCAGTTAAGATTACAGTCTTCTGAGATGTGATACGATGTAGATGTATGCTAACTTTCTGAAGGAACCTAGTGCCTCCATCTTCAGGGTAGAACTGGCTTGGATGTACTACCCTTAAAATGTAGGCAGCAAGTTACTCTGAAATATTGGTCCAGTCTACCAACCTACAATGTTTCACAGCCTAGAAGACCGTGGTCTTGATATCATAGCCATAAGAACCTCATATCTCATAACAAGTATTCTGTTCTTATATTTTCTGTGAATTTTGAGATTTTCATAACATTTTTATCAGTATGTTATTCATTTCTACTTACCGAAATAAATAAGCATCAGGATTACAGTCATTTGACATAATATGCTTGCAAAAGTCCCTTCTTTTGTCTTCCTTGTACCTAAACGAATAAAATGTGTTTATTTAAACAATAAAGAAGATCCTGTATAAGCTCCTCAACTTAAGGATTTGGTGGCAGAAGTGGCAGCATTAATGGTATACTACAGTATAAACCCTTTTATGATTACAGACCTTCTACATAACTGAAGTAACAGAAATAGCAATTCTAATGTACTGTACTGTGTACCTAGAACCACATATTTAATCTAAACACATCTTATATAGAGTAAGAGGAGAAATATGATATTACTTCTTTATGCTTAAAATTAATTTTATAAAATTTCTCAAGAATAGTGTCCACATAAAGAAAGATATATGGGATGAAAGATTTATCTTTTTAATAAATATGATTTCTTTGATTAGTTATATATTTTGTGAGATAAAAATAAGTTCAGTCTGACTTTGTTTGGTGACATCAAAATTGACATACTTCACACAGAGACTCTTTCTTATATTCAACCAAATGTAACACAGATTAAAAAAATTCAGTAACAGTAACATTTAGCTATCTGAGAAGAAAATAAAAAATGTATATATGTTAACATTTTAAGTGAATTCATTAATAAAAATCCTCACTGGATTCTTTCATGCAAGATTTAAGGTACAGAGAATTCAATATAATAACATGATTAAGGAAGAAATCATGATTCACAGACTACTTCATATTAACATACCTGTACAGCACGCCAATTTCAAAGTTCAGCGCTAAGATAAAGGTAAAGTTGTCCCTGTGCTTCATGAATAAGCATTATGCCATGAAGATGTAATGGGGGCTGGAGGTATAGCTCCACAATTCTTGATCTTGGCACTAGCTGGAGGTGAGTGGTCAGCTGCAGGCCCTGGCTGCTTTACCCTGGGGAAAGAGTCCCCAGTACCCATTCTATAGGAGGCTAAGTGGGCCTTAGGGCCAGCATGGATGCTGTGAAGTAGAGAAAATTCTCTTGCACATGCTGGGAATTGAACCCCGGCCATCCAGCCTGTAGCCTGCCACTATATCAACTGAGCTATCCCAGACCTCTGTTCACTAAGGCAGAAAGCAATCCAAATGTTACATAATTTTTCCAAAGATCTTTGATGTATTAAAACAAACGTTACATAAAATGCTCATTATTAATTCCTACCTTCCCATTTGGTCTTGCCAATCCAAGTACCAAAGATGCTTGCAGCAGTATCACCAATCCCAATGGTCAAGAGCCCACTCATCAACGGCAGTAAGTGTTGTCCCACATAAATTTCTTCTGAACATATTGATGGATAAAGCCAAAGTGGCAATGAGCAGGCAGCCAATAAGTATATTGGTGTGAGTGCTATTGGGCCAGCATCCTTCTCATCTGCAAATACTGTGAAACCAGCCTCCAGTACCTCACCCAGGGGGGGCATGTGGATAACACGAAGTAGCTGCAATACAGTGCATAGTAAAACTTCACTAGAATGAAATGCATAGAAATAATACACTACACAAGACCATCTGTGGTAACATGATGCTGGGAAAGGTCAGGTGGATATGAGAGCACAAAGATGATCATTTTATAAGACAGAAAATATGTGTTNAGTAAAACTTCACTAGAATGAAATGCATAGAAATAATACACTACACTACACTGTGGTAACATGATGCTGGGATGTGTGTTTATGGTATCCACTGTGTTAGTGTTTTGTTTGCTCATATGAATTCAGATTCTAAGAAGAGCTTATATGAAAAAATAATGTGACATATAGACCGCGTTGGTAAATGGTGACTCTGTAAATAACAGCTGTTGATATGCAGTAGGTGAATAAACAAACACCCGTTCCTATGTAATGCTCAAGGTACTGTTGGACTATAACAATGGAAACAGTGTTTTCTATGAGGTTCCTACTGAAGTTATAAACAGGGTCAGTCGAGTTCCAGAGTAGTCAGTTGTCAGGAGTTCAGCTGAGTGAAGTGACGTGAAGTAGCTGGTTGGTGTGTGAGAGGGTTCATTTGTCAGTTGAAAGTCAGCCTGTGAAGAGAAGACTAGGAGGTTGGTGTCAAATGGCTGCCAGCCTGGGATTCAGGTAGTTGTCAGGTGACAAGAATGCTGCATGGGCGACTGTGACAAGAGGACCTGAGTGCTGGGAAGCTGAAGAATCTCCCTCAATATAAGACGTTGCCAGGAAATGGCTAGAGGAGATTGTAATAAGACTAAGGACACTAGTCTGTGTGTATCAGTGATTTGCGAAGTGTAGTTCTGAGTGGTGAGTATAAGTGGTCAGTAACTCCAACATCCAATACATACCTTGTTTAGTCACACCATAAATACATGACAATATGCAACACTTTTGGATCTCTGTAAGAAGTAATTTTCAATTTGATAAATACACTTACGAACGACTTTATGGGAAGGCATGACCATTCTTACTCATGGAGCTGAGCCCTTCTTGAGGAGCTGCCAATTCTTCAGCTACTCAAGAATTTCCAGCATTTTATGGAACCCAAAGATTCATCACTGTGTTCACAAGCGCCCTCCACTGGTCCCTATACTGAGCCAGATCTATCCAATCCGTACCATCCCATCCTACTTCTCTAAGATCCATTTTAATATTGTCCACCCACCTACGACTTGGTCTTACCTGCGGTCTCTTTCCTTCTGGCTTTCCCACCAATACCCTATATGCATTCGTCTCCCCCATTCGTGCTACATGACCTGCCCACCTCATCCTCCTTGACTTGATCATTCTAATTATATTTGGAGAAGAGTACAAGTTATGAAGCTCCTCATTATGCAGTTTTCTCCAGCCTCCTGTGACTTCATCTCTCTTTGGTCCAAATATTCTCAACACCCTGTTCTCAAACACCCTCAGTCTATGTTCCTCCCTTGATGTCAGAGACCAAGTTTCACACCCATACAGAACCACAGGCAAAATTATAGTTTTGTATATTCTAATAAAATTAGGCATGACCATTCAGAGTCCAAAAAGTTTACAATGGATTACAAATTTAATGTTTCATGATTTAATATCCCCCCCCCAAAATTAAATGTTAAGTTTCAATGACTGCAGGTCAATACTCTCAGTGTTAAATTTTCTTCATTTCAGATTTTCCCCACTTAGTGTTTAAATGTACTGCTCCCAAAGAAATGCCACATGCTGTGAGTTGGGATAGCCCTGTTCTAAACAACTAAAATTAAATGCAGACATTTCTTTGTCTTTGTTGAGGTAATGTCATTGCAGGAACACTACAGATGGATGAGAGCATGAATAAAATTGAATACTATTCACGTCAGTTTTCTTGGGCTTTGCATGCCATACCTCTGCTGTGGAGAACTACTCAGTATGATAGAAAAAGTATGCCTCTAAAAGAAAGCTTTGACCCTGAGTTCCTTCACTTGGTGCCCTGAGACAAATTCTTGTAAATACTGTGCACACTTCTTCAGACCATAAAAAAAGATTGACGCATGTGCACAGAATTCTGGCAGACACAACTCCTATCACTGTAACTCACTAAATTAAAATTTATCTTATCTAGTGATTACAATATAGCAACATCTCACAGACTACAGCATGAAAGCAGAGTTCTGAGGCAAAATATTTGCTGTGCCCACACTGACAAAAAATTTTGCACCATCATATTTATCAACAAAAAGTGCTTTTTATCCCATTTTAAGAAACACTGTGGTTTAGATACTTCAGAATATACATTAGGATTCATTCATTGAATATATCAAAAGCATATTGTACTGAAGTCATTCAGGGTATGCAGTAAACAAGAATGTAACAAAATTTTAAACTTTTAAATCTGTCAACACTACAGTCTTTCAGGATATACCACTGTGCAATTTGGTAGATGGGTAGCACCATTAGAGAGGAAATTGCTGCCCCATTTTCAGGACAGAAGAATGACTCCAAAACACTGTTATCAATCTACCAAAAGCACAAGATGTCACACCCCAGGGGACCATTATCCTGACGCTCACCACTATGAGAACCCGAAATCTCACATTTTAAATGTGGTTACTTACCAACTTATTTCCATTATTTAAACAAGAAGTTCTGGGCAGAAATACTTTCCTTTGACATGACATGGACTGCACAGAAAACAATGTACCAACAATTTTTCTATTGTTGTGTGTATTCATTTCCATGGTGAAATTTTTACTGAGCCATTGCCTAGCAACGATAGTGGCATGCACATACAGACATGCAGACTAACTGTAGAGTTCTACGAAGTAAGCTACTGAGATGGGCTCAGGCACCATGACATACATATTAAGTTTCATAACGACTGGTTCAGGCACTCAGAAGTTGATAGGTGGGGAAACAGACAGCATGATGATCTCATAAACCTACGTCTCTTTTTTCAAAATAAAGTAAGTAGGCTAAAAACTGAGAATGCTGCAGCCACAAGCAGCCATGATAATGGCAGTTAAGACCTGGTGCACTGCAGCAAGTAATGGTCAAATAGTATTTTACAAATGTAAATATTATGTAACAATTAATATGATTGTACAGCAATTAACTCTTGGCTATGAAGTACTATAATATTGCACTGCAGTATCCTGTTGTACATCACTTGTTTCATATCTTAATCACTGTCTCACACGCAGCTTGTGTCAGAATCTCAAAATTCACTTTAGAATTCCAAATTATTTTCCACATAACTGGTGCTTTACATTTTGACCAATATGGTCATCACCAGGTGCTTAAAAATTGCTGCATTCCTGTCAGTGACTACAGTAGTTGCACACAACATGTAAGAGGACTCTCACAGCAATGCAAATGTACAACACATGGGCGCAATAATGAGGGCATACTTTGGAATTATATTCATTGACTGAACTGCAGCAGTTTTCAACAGAAATTTTCCAAGCACCTGATGATGACCATATCAGTGAAAACATGTGGTGCACCAGTCATGTGAAAAATAATTTAAAATGCAAAAGTGAATTTTAAGATTTAGTACAAGTTTCCATGTCAGATGGTGATTAAGAAGAGAAAAATGAAGTAATATATTAACATGAACCTATAATAATATTAAATCATTAATGGCTTTTGCATTACAAATATTTTTAGGTAAAGAAACATATTAATAACCAATGAAACAATTTTTTAAAATTATTTTATAATCCTGATAGAATAAAATATTTTCCTTTAATAGTCAATAGTGAAAAGTGAAAAGGAGAAAACAAATAGGTTGTATTGTGGATGGAGGTGTAGTCAATAGTTATTTACCAGCTGATAAGATATTACTTTTGGACTTTCTAATAAGTATACGAGTATGACTGGGGCACAGGCCCAATTTCTGAAAATGTGACAAATGTATCAGGAACGTTTTCTTACCTCTAAGGCAGTTATTAATGCCAAGACCACTCCGCTAGCTAGGTAAAGGAAACAACACTCCCTAATTAATCCTGGAGTGAACACAGCCACAGCCAAGATGTGAAAATACTTCCTGATAACTGTAGAGGCTTGCTGTTCTCCCTGAATTTGAACATTCACTGCCAAGACTGCCAATCCGCTGCATACTGCCCAGTAAGTGACAAGCCATATCTGCATTTACACAGGCCAAAAGAATTATATATTACAGTCAGCATCATAAACAGGGGTCAACAACTTTTAACTCAGTTCACCAGTCAGAGGGAAATTCTACTTGCCAGACATTTCTCCAAATTATACAACTGCTCCACACCAGCCTACTTACCTTCACAAAACATACAAAACATAAAATACTATCCCTAGTATTATATAATATATATACTAACTGTTACATATCTACAAAAAATATAAAAAAAGACTGGAAGAGAAGGTTAATAAATAAATTAAAAGATATTTTCACCCATCAGTCTTGAATTCTTAGGACGACATGGGCAGGGCATGTAGCATGCATGTGAGAAAAGATGAGTGCATATAGGATTTTGATGGGAAAGCCCGAAGAAAAGAGAGCACTAGGAAGACCTAGACATAAGTGGGAGGATAATATTGAAATGGATCTTAGAGAGACAGGATGGGGTGGTATGGACTGGATTGAGCTGGCTCAAGATAGGGACCAGTGGAGGAGAACAGCTCAGGTCAATGTAGTTGGTTCATTCATCAGTCTAGACTTTTCACTTGTCATGGTTCAGGAGACAAATAAGTTTGCTCAGCCTTGATCACTAACATTTACATAATCTCACTTTACTTGAATTTACTTCAATTTGCAATGTCATCTCTCATAGACCTATGTCAATGCTGAAAATATAATACAGTTCTTGCTCATACATTTAGCAACATACAAAGCGAGGGAAAAGTTATTATGCATCTACATATCACGCCATGAGGGTATACGAACTGTCTGACTGTAAAGCACTATGCATTAGTAACATTCGCTGTAGACAGAAAAGATAATATTAGTTAGGTTTTTGGTTATGTAATAATGTCAGTATTGAAAAATAAAATTATCCTTGTGTTTAATAAAACAGGTAAACACAATGAAGATGTATGGAGCAGGGGTATAATGCTACCATTCTTAATCTCAGAACTAGAGGGAATATTTTTACTGCATAGACCGGGTCCATGGTTCTGTGCTTCATGGCGACCGTGCTGCTTGCTGCGAGGTACATGCAAATTCTGCCAATGAATCAGCATGCCTGATGGCTGATAACATTCAGAATGAAGTAGTTACATGTAGATATTTTTTGCAATTAATTGTTTCGTTAAAATCGCCAGGTATAACAATCCTTCTTGCACTTACAGCACACAAGACATCAATTTTCACTGGACGGCATCAGCAGTTGTGTTGCCGTTCTTGCACTAGATTTTGATACTCCAGTCTATTGAGCCAGATATTTCAGTGATTTTCTAGGTGCATGTTAAAGTCTGGCCCCTATATCATCTAACTTCTCCTTAGTCAGCACTTGATGCTTATGTTTTTGTTTCTTGTCTCTTAAGAGGCCTGTTGTTCTATCTTTATTGACCAAATTATGAATTGTTTGTCTGCTGGGAACTCTTCATCACGAAATTTAAGTTGAATTTTTTACCGACACTTTCCATATCTCACATGGGTGGCATACAGAAATATATGATGCTCTAAAGTATACCACACCATGATGCACCACACTGCTCACTAACAAACTGAGAACAAATAGTTAGTGGAGCTGATAACTGCTGCCTACTGCTGACAAATCATAAACAATCTCCCACACATGAAGCACACCGCTCCTTGTGTAATACAATACCACCAAGAGGTCCATAAGTTAATTACTTCCCTTCATTCCGAACGTTACGGGTCATCCAGCATACTGATTCATCAGCAAAATTCATGCACAACTCACAGCAAGCAGTGCAACGGTCGCTGTGATGCAAAGAGTCATGGACCTGGTCCATCATTTCTCATCTGCTTGAATGCAGTTAACACTGCATTGTAAAATTATTAAAGAAAAAGACAACTCATATGTCTTGACAAGTTACCCATTCTACTGTCTACTAATCTTCCACATGCGATACATGAGTGCCTCTACATAAGATCTGATCATATAAATAAATAAGGAGCTCAATTCTTAAGATCCTGACAATGGTATTATCAATATTACTAGTACGATCAAAAAGTTTGTGACGATGGTACATTGGTACAAATATTATGTTTTTGGACATTATCCATTGTATTGTCTCTTATCTAAAAACTGTCCTGTTTATTTTTCAAAACATATCGTTTCGGAGATGGAGGCAGAATCTGGTCTCCGAAACATTGTGCTTTGAAAAATAAACAGGACAGTTTTTACATAGAGACAAGATGATGGATAATGTCCAAACACATAATATTTGTACCAATATTACTTGTATTCCAAAAGAACAAAATGTTTCAGAAACCAAATCTGTTTCAATCACCATGTTAGAAGGCGGGAAGGCATCCACTCAGTAAGGTTCACTAGAGATAGCTGATCTTAATCATGATCCAGTTAGATCAGCTATTTCTGATGGGCCCAACTGAGTAGGTGCCACTTAAAATGTTCACCTGAAGAGAGAAACAGATCCAATAACTGAAAAATTGTGTTCTGTTGAAATACTAGACCATGGACAAGATCCAGAGACTCAGAAATCCCAAGTATGGATGCTGCTTATCAAAATAACTCATCCACAATAAACATATTAAAACAAATTTTGAGACTCTCCAGAATAAACGTTTTTAACTTTACAGTAAAAAGAAATACACATTTCTGTATAAGACTTAAATATTCTATTAAAACTTAATTTCTTTTAATGTAAATGAAATACCCTTGGCATGTTTGCTAGCAGCAACTGTAAAATCCACAAAATAGGGCTTGCTTGCAGCAAAATGTGAAGAAATGGCACCACAAAACCAAATATCACAGCCAAGGTCAAACCATAAAATGGTAGGGGTGTTCTGAAATCTGGGAACATGCATGTTGCTGCACATATCAACAGCACACCCAGTATTCCAACCTGCAACCAAGAGAAAGTAATTATGTCAATGCATGATGTAAAATGTTAGGCAAAGAACCTACCAAAACATGTCAGAAAATGTCAGTATTGACAAGTCAGTACACACTAAGATCAAAGGAAACAAGCAATAGAGTGGAATAGAACGCTGAAATTAAATGAAAATTATGAATATTGTTCCACACATAGACACTTGAATTAATTCCAATTTCTAACGTTAACGTTTTATGTGATGAGATTCATTTTAAGCTATATCTACTATCTAATGTGGCACCATGTAATTTGCTAATTCACAAGTGTTTCAAGGGAACATACTGCCTCCATCTTGAGGGACAAAGACACGTTACTCTGAAATACCAGTAGACTTCTACCAGAATATGTGTCACTGCCATTCTCAGCAATAGGAATAATGTAATCACTCTTGTTCATGTTCTGAAATGTCTGCAGAACTTAACAGAAGTAAAAGGTATCCTTTTCCCAGCCACTGCAGCATGATTATTGGCATGCAGCCTCTTAAAATTTTGCAATATGCAGTTAGGAAAATTGGACTGAAATATATGAAACAGTACTGCTATAGCTATTGATATTAATGTCAAACAGAGATTAGTGACATATTTACAGCAGTGGCAGCTTGTGATCACCTGAACAGGTGGAGCCAGAACCACATAAGATACGTCCAAACACCTATATCTAAATATAAGGGGGAAAATTTATGTTCTTATTTAAATGTTCATATTGTCATGTGTATTAGTGACTGAAGATGGGGTTTGAATTGGTGAATTGATTTATTGGATATTTACTAGTAATAACTATAAATAATTATAATATATTTAAGATTGCTGTAATTATAGCACACAAAATAAAGTCTTCTATATCTGCTTGCACCAGTAGTTGCTATGTAACATATCTCAACAATGGCCATGCCTTTACAATGTTTTCACTATTCATTTCCTGGCAATGGGTTTATAACACAGAGTCTCACTGAATTACACACTCCAGATATTACACATACAGTCTTTGCTTCTCAGCCGCACTCTTGCAACTATTTTCTTCACAGCCTCCCATACATAACTGAACTCTCAACTGGACTCTGTACTACTCCTAGTTCCAATTTCCTCTAATCCTACAGCTCACAGCTCTTATTACACAGCCATGGCATGGACTGCATAGAAAATCTCTTCTATTTAGAATACCTGTGTAAACTAGCAACTAGTAGTCACAGCACATATCTTATAACAATGGATTCCCTATTGATGTCACGTTCTTAAGGGGTAAGGCGTTTATCAGCTGTCACATAGAAATGGCAGTTCTTCTACTGTTGCCTGTATTTGTTGCTGCTAGAAAGTTTATGGACATTCCTCTATTGTTATAGAAACAGCCCATATGTCACAGTATTTTTAGAATTTGCCTTATATCTTACACAGCACTCTTTTTTTTTTGTGTTGACAAGAACATTTCTACAAAGGGACTGTGCTCCTCTGTTATAAGAGGCTGAATGCCTTGATCCTCTCGGTAAAATTATAGTTAACCCCCTGAATCAAAGGAGGATTCAGGTCCTGCTAGGCTCATCTGTGCTCACTACTGCCCACATTTTCATTGTACAGGGCAGCCTAAAATGCACTGTTTCTACCACTTAACACCTGGACCATCTGCAGTCCCTATATTTTTCTTCAAGGTCCTTTGATAATTATAAGAACAAAGATTCACGTCATGGTGAACCACTTTCAAACTGTCTTTATATTCAGTTCAGTACTTCCTCACCAACTTATTTCCCTCTACAGTATCTCTATAGTGCCAGTACTCGAGTTATATTGTCACATGTAGACCCACTGACAAGTAACAGCTGTGTAAATAGATAACAGTACAACAGTCATTGCTAGGGAACAGGTCTGTGGACACATCATGTCCCCAGTAACAAGATAACACACAATATTGGGAGAGACGTTTTCGGTGTGGTCCATGCTGGGGCTTATAGTGAGGACTAGCAGTTCAGTTAGTTGAGAGTTCCAGTTGTGAGAAGGATATGCTGTTACCTGAGACCAGGGAGAGTTCGGGAACCCATAAGAAGAGGAATATCTGCCACTGGAAACCACTACCAAGCGATGGCTAGTGAAGGCCAAGAAGACTTTATGTGTGCTGTAGTTACAGTAACGTTTAGGGTGTGTAGCTAAGTGAGACTGTCATAGTTATTTGTAGTTATGAGTGTAAGTGTCCAAGAAATCCAATTACCAATCCAAACCCTGTCTATATAATACTCAATCACGTGACAATACTATTTTCTGCTGTTGTAACATTGCCCTTGAAATTATTTTTAACTTTATATAGCCCAACACACTGTTCCTATTAATGATTTTAGGATTTCATGGTGGGTTCATCATAGATGATGATTCTGCTCTTGGGATAGCACCATGTGCATGTAGACAGTGTTGCCAATGTTTCAGAGCTACATGCTGCCTCCATATTCTACACCTACCAATATGATCCTGAAAATGGAGGTAGCATGAACCTCCAAAATATCATAAACACTGCCCACATTCACATGGTGCAGAGAGGGATAATAAATAATTATAAATAATAAATAATCAAATATATACACATACGTACAATTCACATAACCTTAACCCCCAAAACCAAAAATGTTAAACACAAGCCTTTCTCATGATGTAACCATGTACCTGAAGTGGGAGTGAGAATAATTAGTGTTCAGGCAAGTGGGGGAGACACAAATACATACTGAAGTTCACAAAGACCTGATAGCCCCTGACTTCCCAGCCAAAGAACCCTGGAAAAGACTTGCGAAGAAAAGGCGTGGCATCTATCAAGCACCACAGGCAAGTGGAAGGAACTTCTACAGAAAACTGAGCCAGGATAGGGTCCATGAAGCAAGGGCCTCCATGAACTTCCAACAACCTAAGCAATATATCAACAGATACTGAAGAACACTCTTGTGCCACAAATGGGGTAGACAAATCGCCCAGCCCCTCCAAACCTCAAGGATGGGCCACCTCTGATTTATGGCTTATTTAATAATACTGTCAGTTGTGCAGACTAATAGTGTCAAACGTAGGATGATTAGTGAATAATTACTTGGAAATTATCTGGAAGGAAGCAGCCATACTTTAATTTCAGGTATTGTTCTGGCATTTGCCTGGAGAAACTGAGGAATATCATGAAACCTCAGCCAGAATAGTCAAAGTGTCCCATATGAGATTGAAACTGGGAACCTCCCAAATACAAATCAAAAGCATGATTGTAGTAAAGTATATTTCAGTTCTACAGTATCAGGAAGTTGGTTGAATTCACAATTCTTACCTGAAGAATAAGAGTAGCAGTATTTACACACTGCACTGGTATGTTGTGCCATGTGTTAACTAGGTTAACGGCTGTGGTGAATAAAAACAGAATCAATGCCTGGATTAGAACAGAAGCCTCACCATATGTGAGACTCTTTGGGGCAGCATTAAGCAGTAATATTACAGCCTCGCCAGCTGAATATGAAGCAAAGCCACCTGCAATGCTGAACCAAACACCTGTGGGATAAAAATGCATTGGATAAGAATATTAATGTACATAAAAACGTTCATTTTTAAAGGCATTCCCATAATAATATTTAAACTTCTAAAAGACATTTACTATGTAAATTATGAATTACATCAGTCAATATAAATGTTACAGTGCCCTGAGCAGAATGCAAAGCCCACAACGTGGAACCCACGATCAGAATTCACATTCCATTCTAAGGATCTTGACCATCAGGTTTAATACCTATACAAGTTATGTGATAGCTGATACCAACATGGCTGACATCATTACAAAAATTCATTGTTTATACTGGACGATTCTACTAAACAAGATCTTATTTCGAACTTTCAGAATATTCACATATACAGTATTTACGTCTATAATATTCATGTCCAAGGAATAATATGAATCTGATATACAGGGTCAGTCAATGGGGGCTGCAAAACTTGTGGTTGAATGAATGAATGTATAAGGGGTGGGCCTTCTTGGCCCTTGCACCGTGACCTACAGTCATAAACTTGTGGTTGGTTAGTTAGTTAGTTAGTTATTGGAGAGGGTGGGTTTTCCCATGCACTTAGACCAGTATTGGTCCATTGTGCTTCCCTCTACGATATTCTACCAGTCTCTATACCCTACCGATACTGGTACTTATCATCAGTCCCGACCAAGCCAGCAAGTTCGGCCTCTACTGGCTTAGCGGTATCTATAATGCTTCCCCCATCCATCAGAGCCGTTAGAGACTACTGTTGGACGGGAATTGTCCTTGAATTTGGCTCAGTGACCTCCTTAGGAGATATGAGGTTCTTTTACGTGCCGTAAAGATACGACACAGGACCCACGGCTTAAAGTCCCTCCCGGAGGACTTCTTCCCTGAATTTTTCCGCCCTTAAAAATTCCACGACCTCCGCCGGTTTTGAACCTGCATACTACGAGTCATGAGGTGGGAACGTTACCTCTAGACTACGGAGGCCACTTAAACTTGTGGTTACAATAGTCATATTATTTTGAGCGGTGTAAAATGCTTTTAACATGGTTTGAGTTCAGGAAGTTTATGGAGTCATGATAGTTTGAAAATAAGATAGAGATGAATCCAAAATAAAGAAAAATAATAAACAATTTCACAATAATTTCAATGTAAAATAAAAATAAGCATGAGGTTTTAAATTCTCACAGTGGTGACTGAAGAGCACTAACTTCTGGGATATGATGTCATGTAGTCCAGTAGAAGTTTATGTTACTTTTCCCACTGCTTGTTGTTTGCTTGGCTTACACTTCAAATCTGAAGATGGAGGCAGTATGTTCCTTCAAAGCATCTCTAAACTTCAACCAGGCTACATGGCATCACATTCCAGAAAACTACATTCTTATAGTATGTGATATTTGATGATGAAACATTTTATAAAAACTATTCAAAGTGTCTACCTGCAATTTATGAACATTTCAGCACACTGCATTACTGAAGCAGTTGGCAATACTGTGCTTAACTCTTCATTCAGACTGCAGGCAGATATTGTGAAAAGTTCTTGTAACTGTTTAAATATTAAATAACATTCATACTGGAGGGGGGGGCATTTTACAAAACTGAGACTAGCTAGACGCTACAGTCTCATTGTAGGATGCAAGATGAGTCATGAATTAAAAAGCATTTGGAAGGAAAAAGCCATGGCCTAATTGAGATTCTGTCCTGGCATTTACCTAAAGGTACTAAGGAAAACCACGAAAAGTTTCAGAAAACAAAGCAAATTCCCCAGCTGTGATTCGAAACAGACACCTCCCAGATACCAGTCTAGAGTACCATGGCCATGCCAACCCACTCAGCGACATTCATATTAATTTCACTTTAAAGTTACTGTAAAATTCTTCATTAATAGCAATCATTTCTGTTCCCTTTTATATTACCTTCACAATATCATGAATCCTCAAACTTCTGGCTTGGACTCATGTTAATATGGCATTTCAGACTCAAAATCACTTGACACAGCCATAAAATTTTGCAGGGTCCTCTTGAAACACTGTGTATATCTCTGGAACTTACCTATTTTGTTATAAAAATATAACCGTATATAAGTGAAGACTGAGGGTATAATAAGAGTATATTCGTGTGTCTTGGAACTGCATGCTTTTGCAATAAAAACTACTGAAGTTCCTAGCAGTCCCAGGCTAAGAGTAGCTGCTGTTCTGTATAGCTCAGACACATTGTGACATGAGTAGGCACCCAAGATGATGGCTGTAGGTAGGAGAAATGACATCCACAACCCTGCACTGGCTCCAGGCCTGTAAAAACATTTATACATAAGAATAAGTTTTATGTGTAGGATATTAAAATTCCACCTAGTAATACAATTAATGAACCATCTGATAAACAATATAAAATGAAAACACAAAGATGACAAGGTTAATAAACACTTTTTTCTATACAACTCATTGTAAGTTAAAGCGAGGTGTCTTTACTTTCATAAAAATTTGTGGTATCATATAAGTTAGATTATGGTACATCCATGTGAGATCTTAAGTTCTCACAGTGGCAGATATTAAGATTACAACCCTCTGGAATGTAATGCTGTGTAACATACAGGTATTTATGAGCATTTAGGCAATTTATTTCCCTTCAATCTTGTATAATAAACAACAACTCTGGAAAAGTCTGCCATTCACAGACACACACTAAAGTTCATTCGTGTTACAACCATCCAGATTCTTATAAAAAATAACAGAAATAATAATGACACCTCTTATCTTTATGCACTTAATGATTCGTGAAATAAATCAAATGTAAGATTTGAGGTTTCCATGGAAGTGAGTGCTCAGACTGTGGTTGGCTGGGTTGTAACACAATGTAGTCTTGGAGATGAATACCATTTTTTCATACTGCTTCAATTTTCAGGGTAAAAGTGACTGAGGTGAGGATGTGGTCAGATTATGCAGACAAAGAAATATTGACTGTGGTCACTAACAACCTCATAAGAGCCAACAAGAACTGGAGGCAACAGCATTTAAGGCCCATATCAGCATGGAAAGTGAGAAAGTAGGTATTCTAAGTGACCATTCGGAAGTACAAGATGACTGTCCTTCTGAGTGACCCCTTGGTCAGTTACTTGGCCATACTCCTGCAAGGACTAAAACTCTTGCTGTCATGCACATGGCCCATCACTAATTGTTTATATGTAGATATTTAAAACTGTCTTTTTTACTCTGAAAAGCAATAGCATATTTCTAATCTGAGGTATTTTGTTGGATTTGAGGTTCTTACAGTGGTGTGTACAAACTATTCTGTATTGTGGGATATAGCATCATGCTTTCCAGTGAATGTCAAGTGACAGGTAAGAGAATCCATCTTCAGGGTTGAAGAAGCTAAGCAAGAAACCTCCAAAATGTTCATTGACATTCAATTGAATACACAGCATTATATCCCAGAAGACATGACACTTTTTATGTATATTGCTTCTTATTCTGGTGGCTAGTTTTTAAAGATAAAACTCCAGAGCTAGCCTGGATGACGTGGAGAAGAGAAAATTCTTGACCACTTGAACTCCGATCCCTCAGTTGTCCATCCTGTAGCCACCTGCTATACTGACCTAAATTTAATGGAGATTTATACACATAATGAGAAGTTCAAGTGTCATATATCTGTAGCTGTGATGGGCAGAAGGCCTGTAATTCTTATGTACATCACTGTAATCCAGGTCAGCGTAGCACCAACATGTCTCTTAAGAATCCTGTTAGAAATTTGGGAAGGCTATCCAACCCAGGTGTTTTATGATTTCTCCCAGTTATTCCAAGTAAATGTCGGGGTGGTACTATGAGACAGGCCACATACACTTTCTGCCAATTCCTTTCAAACCTACCACATATAATCATAATCATCATCTCTAACCATTCAGCAATGCATAACTTTTCAGTTGATGCAATGTAATTAAATAGGAAACCTAAATGGAAAAGAAGGTAGGTTCAGAAATGTGACGTGTGGACAATCACTTTAAGTTACGTTATATTCATATGAAGTATTTACATATGATACACTGAAGAATGGATTTGCTCCGATACACTGAGAGGATCTTTGGAACAACTGCAGAATATGCGCAGTACTCAAATATGCAATGATACAGACACACACACTCTAACCCTAACCTTCTGTGTTATTAATTGCACTGGCAACCCTGAATATTATACATTGGTAGGGGATCTTGATATGACATAAAATGAACATATTCTCCAATCTGTCAGCTACATACATTGTCCATTATGTTAAGTATGATGGAGCTCATTTACCTTTCCCCATCTGAAGTTCTCCCTGCATATTTGGCTACCATGCTGAATCATAAACATATTTCAAATGCAGTGATACGCACTGGTTTTACGCATTATATGCCTAAAGGAGATGTACAAAAGAGTCTCATTAACTGTAAAACCACTGAGATTTGACTCATAAACATTTTGTAGTCCCGTTCTAATTTGCGTAATAAAAGTAAAAATTATTACAACACCTTCAATGAGGAAATGACCTTATAATCTTTTATCCTTAAAAAACAAGAAATAAGGAATACAGGTAACATAACAATCAAGTAAATTATTTAAAACTGGAAAGCAAAATTAAAATACAGATATCAACATGGGTAGGCAATATGTAAAGCTATTTCATCATTCTCAACTATGAAATCTACTGTACTACTGGACCTCAGAGGTCTAAGTCCACTCCCATCCTATCTTTACCTTGTAATGATGTATTCTTCATTTAAATACGATTGTACACGTTTACTTGAACTGTGTAGTGCTCTCTGTATTACTTCCACAATCATAATTCGAACAAAACTTGGACACCTTCCATTCGTTAATAAATAATGTATATCAACTTTTAAAACTAGCTGACACCAAACCTACTTGACAACACATCACTGAACTGCCACTGACTAACGCATGTGCATCATAGTTTCTTCTGTAACCATAGCAACCGTACTGTAGCTATCAGAGCCATCAGAGCCATCTACGAAGTCCAACAGTTGCGCGGTAAATTCATAACAGGTCGTTCTGGACCTTCTAGCCCTAGCCCCCTTAAGCCGTGGGGATCGTGGGGATTAATAAGCAGTAGTAGGCGTACAGGTGGCTGATTAATTCGGTGTCATGACTTATGACAAATATAAATGAACACTGTAGTAAAGTTGTCAACTGCTGTTCCTTACGAATTTGCTGAAGACTGACGTAAAGTTATTAATGATGTTATATGAAATAAATGAGATACTGTTGGATGTTCACAGTAGTGATTCAGAATCTTCTGACACATGACGCCGTGTAGTCCGTTAGAATTTCAACAACGTTTCGGATAAAGTATTGGCACCATCTTCAGGGTTGAAGAGTACGTTAGGTAAGTCAAGCAGCAAAGGCAGTGGACTTCTATCTGACTACACGTCGTCACTTCCCAGAAAATATTCTTAAAATATTGTACTGTTTCCCGGAAAGGGTGAACCATACACACACGAAAAGTGTAAACCCACATCATACCAGCCCTGGTCCGTGTTTCCTGTTGAAATTCCCAAGATACAGGTCCGATCTCGACCTGAACTGATGATATTTGTTGTATTTTTCACTCTCAACAAGCAAATGTTGGACCTGTCTACCCTATCTACCTCACTTTGTCGTCTCTCTCTTGTTAATGGTTTGGGCTCCTAATCACTATATAGGCATAACCGTCTTGTAGTGTATTTATGGCACTCAATCGGTTGTTACGAAGAGTCCTATTTTCTGGGCTGTAACTCCGTGTAGTCGGTTGAAAGTCATCCGACGTTTCGGGAGAACATGTCACCTCCATCTTCAGGGCAAAGAATAAGCCAAGACACCAGCATGAAGTTGGTTTCTTATTCGACTCTGATGATGGAGCGACATGCTCCACCGAAACGCCGGTTAACTTTCAACATACTACATGGCGTTATATCTCAGGAGATAGGCCTCATCATAACTCTCTTAATCAGTTCCTTCTTGACGTGAAACTATAAGTGATCCAACTGATTCAGCCATAAAAAGCCAAGGTCTACAACGGTCTACAGTACGCTTGCGAACATTTACGATCTTGGCGTTGTTATCTTTGGTCAGAAGCAGAAAGAGGAACAGTCACTTTCACAATTACCTATGTGAGATAATCCGTAATCAGGAACAGCGTTAATATGCATTTCATACGTAACGTGTAGTGCCATTTACATACTTTGTAATGCTTCCTGCGATATTCTAGTGTTACGGATCACTGTGGTGTGGTGGGCATTGGAAGTAGTTACATGTCATGTTGGTAGGAAGATGGAGAATAGCGGAGACAAAGTGACACCTGTTAATAAGACCCCTGCATGTGTACTATTATTCAGTGGAAAAAGAAAGTCCGGCAAAGATTACATAACGGATAGGCTATTTGATAGGTAATCATTCTGTGTATTGTAATGATATATGAGCCATGATTTTCATAGACTTTTTGGTTAGGGTTGTCCGTCAATGGATGCACACATTTAAGCCGTAATGAGTGCAAGTGTCAGAATTTATACTGTGTATCGGTACAACACAGTTCTTGTATACATAATCGGTAATAAAAGTTGTCCCTGTGCTTAACTAATTAAGCACTACACCATGAAGGCATATGGGGGAGTGGCTGTATACATCCATATTTTCTTGACCTTGGTACTAGCTGGAGATGAATGGTTAGCTTCATGCCCTCGTCGCTTTACTGCCGGTACCCATTGGATAGGATGTTGGATAGACCCTGGAGCCAGACTGAATGGCATGGAGATGAGGCAATTCTTCACCCTACTGGTACTGGAACTTTGACCCCTCGGTCATCCAGCTTGTAGCCAGTCGCTATACTGATTACGCTATCCCAGTCCCCACACATAATCAGTAGAGAAGTGAAACGTATAACAGGAAATTGGATGTGTTATTTACATTAGTGACCAAATTACTAAAATAATAATAAGTAAAAAATTACATACATGTATATATGTGGCACTTGGTGGCCACACATTTCCAGCTGATTATGAAAGATTTGCTCCTCTTGAGCAGATGTGTTTTACTTCTGGGCTGAACAGATGTCTTGCAGAAATTTACACATTCTGCTCCATATTATTTTAACAGCATCCTAAAGCTTGGCCTTATGACCTTTAATCACTATATATAAACTTATAACTGTGATACAGAGGAGTTTCTGAATTGAAACCACATTCAAAGGATCATGGCAGGCATCCATAAAACAGATTCACATAAATAATTATAGATATACTTTCAAGTATAGTCCTTATAGGTCATACTTTTGCCTGGACATTAATTCCTTATGTACAGATCACCCGTCACTTCGACATTCTGCAAACTGTGCCATGACTTGTCACCACACGACATAGTGTATCAGAAGTAAATGTTATTGTTGAGGGTAAAGATACTATATTGTAAGGCATGGCAACTAAATTACTGGTGTCTCTCTATTCTAGACTTGGAACAAACAATACTACAATGATAAAAATTTCAGCTCCTATTAAAACTCACTGGGCAGAAACACATGATTTGGATTTTGAAGAGTTGATGAGTGCTGGTAAATATAAAGAGGAACATAGACAAGATATGATTAAATGGAGTGAACAGATTCGACAAAAAGACTATGGTTATTTCTGCCAAGCTGCTGTAGAAATGTTTAATGGTATGCATTTTTTTATCATGGTTTAGTGAGAAGAGAGATACTGGAGGAAACAAATCTGTTGAAATGTGAAGTTCAGGTTTCTCATGGTAGTCACTATGGAAATTGCTGTCTTATGAGAGATTATGTAGGCTAGTAGCCATTACCAAGGATTTGGAGGAACCTGTTGCCTTCATCTGCAGTTCCACCCCCCTCCAAAAAATGAGTCATCAGGTTCCTCTGAAACACTGGTAATGATTTTCCACATTACACAACAGCACCACTACTGTGGTATATCTATACAGAATTTGAGTACGTCATTATAAGTAAGCAATTGTGATATGGTACCCTTAATATGTAATGAAATGTAAAAGGGTAAAGTTATCCATGGGCCTAATTAATTAAGCACCATGCCATGAAGATGTGTAGGGGAGTGGAGATATAGCTCCACTATTCTCAATCTTGACACTAACTGGAGGTGAGTGGTCAGCCTCATGCCCCTGCTTCTTTACCTTCTTGGGAAAGCCTTCAGCACCAACTATGTAGGAGGCTGGGTCTGGATGTAATGGTGAAGAGAAAAATCTGTTTCCTCTGCTGTGAATCAAATCCCAATTCCTTGGCCGTCTAGCTCATACAGTAGCTGTTATACTGACAACTGCATTAATATACACAGTGTTTCAAAAGTAGCTTTACAGCTTTTAGATGATGTATACATTTATCAGTAAGTGGTAACTAAAAACCAAATACACAGAGATGCAGTCAAACATACCAAGTTTTCTCTGATGTACCAAGCGTTACTATTCAATGTACAAACAAACAAACTCTGTGATTTTAGTCTGCAAGCAAATTATACCAACCAAGCGACTGCTGCTTATCGGCGAAGTTTAGTGCCATCTTTTGCAGATAGAGGGTGTCACGTGGTCAGCGCAACAAATCCCCACGGCCGTTAATTTCGGTTTTCTAGATCGGAAACTCTATTTCTTTGAAATAGCTCCTCAATTATCATGAGGCTGAGTGGACCGCGTTCCAGACCCACTCCTCCGAAAAAATTTGGTAGCGCCGGGAATAACAAATATCCCACCTAGAATTAATTTCCTCCCACATGTAATGTAGCTTGTCTGGTGTGATTTCTGCAACTGCATCAGTAATTCTTCTCCATTGGTCATTAAAATTTGTAGGTAACAATGGAAAGTACATTATCCTTAACAAATCACCATTAAATTCTAATGGAGTTAAATCATGGCCACCTCAATCTTCCCCAGTTAAGCTCCATTAGACTTTTTCTTATGGTGATTTGTTAAGGATAATATGTACTTTTCACCTTTACCTGCAGATGTGCATGATGTACGGGCAAGAATTAAGGCCAGCTGCAGAAGTCATGCCAGACAAGCTACGTTACGCTTGTTGTGTTACATCTGGAAGTTACACTGAACAATAACTCTGATACGTCAGACGTTTGATGTGTTTTGCTACATTTGAATGTATTTAGTTTTTATTTATCACTTATTAATAAATGTATATATAAAAGTACTTTTGAAACATCCTGTATCATTTATATTCATAAAAGATTTCAATATGAAATTCGTTACAATTCTTATGTAAGCGTATGTGGTCACCATCCTCTCTGTACAACACCCCATGTCTGATTCATGACATTTTGTACAGCTGTAATGCCAAATTAAAGTCATACTTTTCAATTTCCTACAGACGCTAATAAAAACATGGAGCATATACAAACCTGTGAGAGAGACTAGTGCTACTACAGTTAAGGCCCTGAAATGATATATTAATATATGGTAGCAGATCTTAGAAAAATTTGTTGGAAAAGAAAAACTTTTATAAGATGTAAAATGACATGGCAGTTGTGAACATTTAGTGTTCAGTATGATGGCAATAGGTAATAAACAATGTGTGAAATTTGACATGGAGATAGACTGTAAACATGCCTATGAAAATTTGTTTGTAAGACAGCAGTTACAAATATGGTGATGGTGACAGAAGTTTAATGTTATATCCGATGAATTTAGCACAAAACATACATAAGCAATTAAGTCAATGCCAAAAATATAATTAAAAATAATATATCTGTAATACCAGAAAACTATGCAATATGAAAGTTGTTTCCATTGGGGATTATGAAGCAGATAGCAAAACAGAACAGATGCACCAGCGTGTAGGGGTGGAATGTGATCTGTGTTTATAACAGACTAGAGGTCTCCACTGCATTCATTGTAGAATGTTCTAGGTCATACTGAAATAAGTGCAGTAAAAGAATATTGATGGGAGGATAGGAAGTTTTTCCAAGTAAATCAGCACACTGAATGTGAAGAAAGATTTATCACAGAGACATAGAGGTCTCTAGCCTTCATATTTGCCACTATGTGTCATTTATTCTCCCTTTAGCAGCAACATTGATAGCGGTCAGTGCTTGGATGCGTAACATCAGATCACCACACATACTGCAGTCATGTTTACACCACTGTCACAAACCAGAATTCTGAATACTGTTGTATAATACCTCTGGCACTATTTTTCTGTCACTATGAACCTGTTTTTATTTAGGTGTATTATAATATCTGGAATTTGACTCATGTTCTTATTGTCTGGCACACATCTTATAAGCTAATCTCTTCTCTGTCAAGCAGACTTCAGAATTTGGTTGGCATTATTACCCAGCTTAATAAGTGGCTTTTATTTTTCTCAAACAATGGTACAGAAATCTGTATAAAATCTATATATATACAGGGATCTTCTATTTGTCCAAAGGCAGAATCATGCATTTTTATGTTTTGTGTGTAAATGTACAGTCTCACACACACTTGCATGCCATGTCTGTTTATCATAGTCGCTCTGGGTTTTGATTCTTGTTTATTTCGAGTGATACTGAACTGGATTTGGAAGTCCAGTATCAAATTGTTACTCTCACTGAGTGTACATATTTACAGCATATGAAAAACCAATATGGATAGTAAGTGACACTCGAAGACGATCTGATTTGAAGTGGTTCAAAGAAAATTATGACATAGCTGTGAAGACAGTTCGAGTTTTAGCAGATGACGATGTCCGCAGACAACGAGGCTGGGTATTTACAGCAGGTAATATGTGGTGAATTTGAAAGTATGGTAGTATTATTTTCAGGTTTTGAATTCATAAAAAGGTAAAGCTATCCCTGTAACAGGCCATGAAGGCAAAGAGGGGTGTGAGAGGCTCCCACATTTTCCAGACAATCGGCTTACAGATGGTGGTGAGGTTGTGAGCCTTACGTGCTGGCCACCCTTTACCCCCCAGGAAAATTCCTGGTACTCATTTCTGTTAGAGGCTGAGTCGATCCTAGGGCCCTAGTGCGGCTAGAAGGATTAGGTCAAGCAAAAAATCCATTGACATCATTGGGATTTGATCCCACAACCTACCAGCTTGTAGCATAGTGCCTCAACCAACTATACTACTGCATGCCCCTTTTGAATTCATACTGTATTAATATTTGATTGGTTGTATATGGCTGGTTATTATACAGTAGAACTTGGTTATAACGTCATCAAAGGGACCTAAAAATAGTGTCGTTATAAACGAATGTCGTTGTAACCGAAATGGGCACTTCCACAGTAGCCTTATGTTAGTCACGTAAAAATCTACCAAAAACCGAGTTAAAATGTTGCATTTTTTATGAAAAACGTAGTTAAGTACAGACTAACATAACATTAACGTGGAATTGCCCAAATGTGTAATATCAAAGACATATTACAGCGCTTTTCACTGACAATACACACCGCACTAATACTGTATATTAAAGGTAGGCCTACTCACCAAATTACAGTAGATTACATCAATTGTTGTGCCTTACTGTACCTAGATACGAGTATGGTAATCAGTTATCTTCATCTGTTTCCTGTTACTTGCCCAATACACACTTTCTAAATTACGTTCAATGTCCATATCAGAGAAATTCAGGAATGAAAATGACGTTACATACGAGGTTGATGCATTTGTGCATGTCGTACTAAGCAAGGTATAAAAACAGTTGCTTTATGAGGAATTAGTTCGTACCATTGAATATTTGACGCAATAGACAAGGTGTCGCAGAAACCGATGTTGCTATAACCAAGTTTTACTGTATTTACAAATTTACCATGCCATACCTGTCGTCATTGCTGTCATAACTAACTCCATGGAGCTAAGTCCTTGAGAAGCTGCCAGTCACTCAGCTACTCAAGAATGTTCCAACATGTTACGAGACCCAAAATATTCACAAGAGCTCTCTACTAGTCCCTATCCTGAGCCAAATGAATCCAGTCCATACCACCCCATCCTGTCTCACAAGATCCATCACCATAACCATAGGAAATTTAATTTACATGTATCATGTGTTCTTTGCACAAAGTGCATAAATGAACACTTTACAGGATGTCACGTGCACCCATTGATACCCGTTTCATCTCCAAAATGAACTCGGTGGGTTTTAACAAAATCTGGAATACACTATAAATTTGCAAGGCAAATATCAGTTTATACTGATCTTAAATAGCCTCCATAGTACATGAAGCTCAGATTGAACGTTTCTAAGAAAAAACAGTTCATTGTGAAAATTTGGCTACAAAATATAAAATGTAGAGCTAATTAAGATTAACAGCTTGTATGCTGAACTTCCAATGTGATATATATAATACCTGTTTCTTCAAAAACCCAGTTAGCAAGTTCCAAAAGTCTCTGGCATAACATAGAACTCGAATTTTGTCTTCTCCCACCTAGCTGCACTTTTTGGCTGAGACTACATGATGCCAACTGGTCAAACAAAACTTTGGCATGATGCTGGTATTGCGAGTACACACAATATGACAGGAGATATATTTCTAGAGCTTCTACTAACTGTATAACTCACTGATGAAGAGTGATGGCACAGTAAGATATGCTATTGTCACATTGTGGGAGGACACATAACTCTCTTCAGATAATGCATGTGTTTAAATTATGTACTCTGGCTGAAGGCTGAATCCAAAATGACCATTACAAGACAGAATGATCTGGGGACTTAGTCCCATCACCAAAGTCTTTCTTAATGTATATCTGGTGAGCATAACATGCCTGCCTTTTTGTGAATTATACAAACGCTGACCCCCTTTATGATCTGCAATTTTATCAATTATGTGAATTACAAACTTGAATGTAGAAGGTGAACTGGTAATCTCAAGATAAAACAAAAGATTATTTTGATTGGATCAGGATGGAGACATTTGTGCTCTAATCAGATCCTTCACCTTTGTCACAGTGTGCAGCACACATTCTGTTACAGGGAGGCAACTAATCATTTGAGTGCCATGAACGTCATGAATATTCTCATCAGAGCAGTAGATTCCCAGAGGTTGTACCTGTTATCACAAATTAAAACTTTCTAAGTAGATAGTACACACTATGGCAGCTTAGTTTGGTTTAATGCTGCAGGTTATGTAACACTGAAAGGGTTAAAAATAATGAGTTATTTATCAGTTCTCCACTCTCAAAAGACAACTGCCTGCTAAAGTTAGGAAACAGAAAATACTACTGGTAATGCCCCTCAGTTTAAATGTCATATTTAATGAAAACATGGAAGTGTTAAATGCTTTCACTGTCTTCATAGAGGACATCTTGATCACTTCATTCTGTAATTCTACAGTGTCAACTGTAGAAACCATTATGAAGGCTGTCACTACATCCTTCTCTTATCAACTAAAAAATTGACCTTTTCAATTTATTTTAATTTGTTTAAACTACTTAGTTTTAATATACACACTTTCCACTAGTCCCTTCATAATGTTTGTCTGCCCCAGACGATGGCCACTAGTGGCTGAAATATGTAAGGTAGAAAATATTGTGAAATGACGCCTGAAAGCCAGAATAGCGGAGCCAGAGTAGTTCATTGCTAGGCAATGACTCGGTAAGTAGGTTTCTGTGGCAATGAATAAACAAACAAGCAACAGGCTTGGTGCTGTTGATCTATAACAATGGAAACAGTGTTTTCTGTTGGATCTGCCCCAAGGCTATATAACGAGGATACCAGGCCAGCTGAAATGATAATGGAGACTGTCTCTTGAGATGGCAGATGAATGATTGAGAAGAGATGGCAAGAAATGAATTAGGCTGTGGAAAGAAGACTTCATAGTGTGCTGCAGTGACAGTGAGGCTGTTATAAATCTGTTGCCAGGACGTGACTTGTGAAGACTGAAAACACTTAGTGTGTCCCAGTGATTTGTCCTGTTGAAATCAGCAATAGTGTTGTAATTACTTGTAGTTACAAGTTGAATGTATAACTCCAGTAAATCCAATCATCCAATCCAAACCCTGTCTAATAGTCACACTCCTGAAATACATGACAATATTTTATTAATTTAATTACTAAAATAGTCACATTTGATGGAATTCTACTTTTTCTTGTCTCATCACTATTCTTGCAGACATAGATGTTAAAATATTGTAACCAAAGAGAACACTGGTTGGTATATCTTCACATCAGATGTAACTCTTGTTTTCTTGTATCTCCTTTCATTTTTAGGAGTAGATGATGCAGAAACTGAATGCGACTTAGACGGAGTGACTGACTGGGACTGGACAATCATGAACAATGGCAATGAACGGGAGCTGCAGGCTGGAATGCAGAGTATACTGTCGTGGGTCGGTGACATTCTAAACTCATAGCACTGAATATGGTACTAACTTTTATCGTTATGGGGCCAGAGAATATAAATGTTGGACTTTCTTCTTTCTTAAGTTTATGCTCATATGCCAGCCTTAAAACAATTTGTAAATTCTTTATACCAAAGCATTTATGCTTCTCAGAAACATAGTTTTTTAATATATTTTTTATGAGCGAGATTGTGAGCAAAGTACATAAAAGTGAACTTTTATATTCTCATACTAAGCTTGAATAAAATTTTGCATAGTCATTATTCGAGCTTATATGATTTTCCACAGCCAGTTTCCTTCAGTCTTGTGTGGTTGATTCACACTGTTCTTCGATTTACTTCTTATTAGACCTAAAAACATTCATCTCCCATACAGCACATCAGGAAATTGTGTGCATCTATTGTACCTGTCAAATGTAACCAAATATCAGTTGTACTTATAGTATTGATTAGTCTCTGTTTACATGCAGTGTCTCCTATTTATTGAGTTTACTGAGACAGTCAATTAGAGGATGGACCAAGAATCCATAGGTGCTGTGGTGTTCACTACATTTTACATTAAATTACATTAAATCCACCGCTGTATGAAAAGTGCTGTACAGGAATGTACAGTATTGAAGAAATGAAACCCTGTGTACTAGCGAGGGTCTAAATAAGTCAGTTTGTCGAGCTAGACTAAACACAAGTCAGCCCCTGCTGCCTGTAGAAACCTGCACAAGGTAGCAGATGCCTGTCTGGTGCCTGATGCCAGATTACTGGATGTGTCAGACTAGTGCATGGCCAGATTACCAAGATTGTACAGTATATGATTATGTCATTTAACCATAGTCTGGTGCAGAAATTTATTATTTTTGTAAACTCAGATATAAAAAATAAAACAGTATTATTTATTCTGTGCAAATTATTTGCAAAACTTGGATTTCACATGTTGTAGAAATTATATCCTTTATTTATTGGAAGGTTATATATTTATTCAGAAGGTAATTCCAATACCCAGCTTTACCTTTGACATCAGAAACTGCAATCACATGGAAACAATCAAAGATGCAAAGAAGAATGCCCTTAACAATCATCAGAGACACCATACACTGTATTACCTGCATCATTACATTTTATGATCTATACATACCATTCACCATCTCTGTTGCTAGCTTGCATGAGCACTGGGGAACACAATCTGATATACGTCTTCATAATGATTCACAAAGTGAACTTCTAATCCTTCAGTTATATATGATGGAAGATCATTATAGTCCTTTTTATTCTCTTCTGGCAAAATTATGCACTTTACACCAACACGTTTAGCCTGCATATGAAAAAGTTACATTCCATAAGTAAAGACAATACTGTTTTTCAGCCAGTACATGCCAGTATGCATACCAGCAAACTTTTAAAAGTTCCACGTCTGCTGGTGCACCATATTCTGACCCTGAGGCTAAAACAAAGTATGAAGTGATAAGGAATGCATGTTTCAAGAAGTTCAGACATCCATCCATCCTTTCCTTGATCTTCTTACAGAATTTGTATTTTCAGAATGGTTCAAGTTTTTTCTTTTCCAGTCAGAGTACCAGCAAACATATTTTTTGGGGGAAGGGGAGGGGCAATGAGTAAAGCATACATATATGGATGTAAAATTTTAAACGTCATCATGATTGAAATATTCAGGTGTCTGTACTATATTCCTGTGGATACAATGTAACTGAACTTCAGCTCTGTTCTACTAACTGCAATTTTTTCTAGCATACATACATATTACAGGGTGGGGCGCAGAAACTTCCTTTTTGTGAAGATGCATTGTGAAGGGATGGGAGGTCGCAGAAAATTGGGGATAGGCTCGGCGAATGCAGCAGTCGCGGAAGTTTCTGTCTAATACCCCTCAGTAGGAAACATGAGGTGGACGAGTGAGCAGCGTGCTTTGCTGTTGAAGCCAATTTTTCGAACAACCATTCCTACGTGGCAGTGCAGTGTGCATTCTGTACTCACTTGGGAATTAAGCCCAGAGGTCCGGTTCCTGACCAGAAATCGATTGTTTTGTGGGTAGAGAACTTTAGGACAACTGGGAGTGTGGTGAAAAAATCATCAGGACGACAACGGACCGTTACAACGCCAGAAAATGTGGAGGCAGTTCGACAGTCGATTTTGAGATCTTTTTTGAAGCAGCTCTTGAAGAAATGCATCTAGGAAATGTCTGGTTCCAACAGGATAGTGCCACGGCCCACACAGCCCGAGCTTCGATGACAGTTTTGAGGGCAAAGTTCCCTGGACGGCTCATCTCGCTTTGAGGTGACATCCTGTGGGCAGCGCACTCACCTGATCTAATGCCCTATGATTTTCTTTATGGGGATACCTCAAGGCAGAGGTTTTTAAACATTGTCCCACAAACCTGCTTCAGCTGAAGAATGTTATTCGGCAGGAAGTAGCCCAAATTCCGGTGCACATGTTGGAACGTGCAGAGGGGAACTTCAGAAAACTGTTGCATCAGTGCACAGAGAATGGTGGCCACCACCTTCAAGATTTTTTGTTTAAAACTACATGATTTAAAACTTTAAAGTATGTTCTTTCATTAGCTAAACATAAATTTTGTCTATCAGCAATAATTTTTCTTTTATTCGCCTTCAAAAAAAGGAAGTTTCTGCACCCCACCCTGTCTTTCTCTTATAATGTCTTTACTAGGCACTAGTAAAGACAACACTACATGCTGTGGAGGAAACATGCAAACCAGGGGCATATGGCAGTCATAACTGAAAAGTAGGCTACAAATGTGAGGGGCAAGCTGCTGAAACAAAACACCCTGGACAGACATACATTTATGAACAATGGATGACACCCCATGTGAGGTGAAATAAAATGCACCAAAATAACGTAGGTATAATAGAAACTTTAAAGGTTTTTATCTGGTTTTACCTTGAAAAGAAGACTACAGCGTGTGATTTTAACACGGACTAAGACTGTAGCAGTTTTAACATAATTTAATTAAATATTTGTAACATATCAAGACACCTGAAGATGGCCGTTTGGGGCTCAAATGTAGTGTCAAAGTGTATAATGTTAAACTAAAATTAAAATTAAGTAGTGAATAAACAAGTGTTGCAATACTGACAGATGATAAATAATGGACGTTACAATTACAGAAGCTGGAGATGCTGTCAACAGCATCTACTCATCTCATACCAGAACTTGCTTGCAATGTAGTGCAAATTCAGTTAGAGTACAGAACTTCTATGGAATATCCTACAAACCTGCTGATACACACTGCCTATGTATGGAATGTATATGGTTGCAATGATAAATACTGTCACATGTTTAAGTTCGAATCCTGTCGGTCACGTGTGTAAGTCCAATCCCACTTCTGACACCAAATTGTCATGTGTCTTGAGTTTGAATCCTGTCAGTCAGCATGTGTAAGTCCAATCCCACTTCTGACACCAGTGTAACGTGTTTAGTTACTGAAGACGCCGTTCAGATTGTTAATTGGTTTATTTAACAACCTACAAGTCTCGGCTACAATTATTTATAACACAGTTGCTGGGTTTCACACTTTATAACCGTATTCGCAATAATCTATTCACACTGTTGCGGGGTTTCACAATTTATAACCCTATCTGCAAATCAATTCACTCTATTGTCAGCAGTCTACACGTTTTCATAGTACGGGAGCTATATAAGTGCAACTGTATCACACACTCCCAATTATTACTCAGTTATCACGAACTGTCACTGATTCTCACACACGCGTCCGTAACTTGTAACTATCTCGTAAACTCGAGAACTTGAGAACTCACTCTGGTGGCTAATACGCTTTAGACTCTTAACTGCACTTGGCGACAGCCACATTTCAACTGACTGTGGCGGCTGTCTAGTTCCCTTCTATAGTCGCAGCGCTTGCCTGTTACGTAATTGGTACCACTGTTGGCTGACGCCTTGTCGACAGTGGCGTTGCGTGCCATGTCACAGTGCGGAGGGGGGGGGGGACGGAGCGCTGACTCATCCGCCACGTCACTGCTGGTTAGGGAGGGGTTGTCCTCCATTGTGCAACATGTCACAATACATAACAGCATTTTCAACTAATCAAAACTGTTCTTGAGAAACTAGACCTAATTCCAACTTTCAACTTCAGTGTTGCATTACCCACATTAGGAAGTATATAGAAACATATGTTCTTGGTTTAGGAACTACAGTAGCTCCAAAACTGAAAGTATTACAGGAATTTAATTTAAATGGCATTACTCCAACAGATATATTCTGAATTACCAATATTAAAAGCATGCAAAATCCTATGCTGTTGGCTGAGGAACTGTATTAATTTTGAAATTCATAGCACATTTAAAATAATTTTATATTGAATTAATACAGTTTTGCTGTATATAACATTACTTCAGAGTTTAATGAATATCACATTTTTGTTGAAACATGAATCAAATACAATCAACTTACTGCAATTGTTTTCTCTTTGATTCCACCAACTGGAAGAATTTTTCCCATGAGTGAGACTTCTCCTGTCATTGCCACATCCTGTCGTATGGATTCATCTTTTGCTAGAGAGAGAAGTGCTGTCACAATAGTGCAGCCTGCACTTGGGCCATCTTTGGGGGTTGCTCCCTATAAACCAGATATCAATGTTCACACATATTCAGTACACGGACATCTCTAATATTAGTTTCCCTTGCAGATGACTCATGAAGGTAAAAGAAAGGTAAAACTGTCCCTCTGCTTAATTCATTAGGTACCATGCCATGAAGATGTGTCTGGGAGTGGAGGTTTGGTTATAAATTTATTGACCTTGGCACCGGATGGAGGTGACTGGCCAGCTTCATGCCTTGGCCATTGTACCCCTGGGGAAAGGCCCCCAGTACTCACTGTACAGGAGGCTGGGTGGGTCCCAAAGCTGGTCTGGATGCTTTGGAGATAAGAAAAATCTCTTACCCTTGCGAGTAATTTAACCCCAGCCCACAGCTCATTGCTATACCGACTTAGCTATTCCGGCTCCTTACCAGATGACTCAGTTGAATATTAGCTGAGAAAACCCTTGAACAGGGTGAATGTAATGTCAAAAGTGAATGCCATTTTATTTATTTATTTAGCAGTGCTGTCAGTAGCTCACAGTATGTAGCACAGTATGGTAGAATGATTAGTGAATTGAAGAAGATGCAGAAGGGAAATAACTGCAGTGTATTTTGACTCTCCTGGCAAGGATAGTGACAGACTAAATGATCTCAGGGCATAGATTTGAATACAGCACCACACCATATGAAGCAGAAACACCCTAGACTGTGACATTCAGTGAAATAAAATAATTAAATGTGGGATATCGTACATTAAGGAACATTAAATGAGGGACTTCCTGCAGTATGTTTGCACTTACAAGAAATGTTACCACTAATCAGTTCTTATACTCCTGTTATGTCATGTTAAACATACTGTCTTCTGAGATGTGACACCATGTAGTCTGGTGGAAGTTTACTGATATTTTAGAGGAACATACTGTCTCCATATTCAGGGAAGTTGAGGGTGTCTCTTCTAGCCCTGAAAATATAGGGCGTACACTTCTCAGAAATGTCAGTAAATTTCTGTTCTGTCCCAGAAGACATTCATAATCACTGCCATGAGGACCTCAAACCTCAAGTTATGTTATGTTGAACATTAATACTTTAAAATGATGCTGATATATGAGGGTAAGTCAGTAAGTAAGTTAACTTTAACAAATAAGAGTACTGATTTGAAAAATGCTTTTATTTCTCAACATAATCTCCCTGTACATTGTGGCACTTGTCCCATCATTTCACAAGCCCCTGAAAACCAGCAGCATAAAATTCTTTGGGCTGCTGTCGGAACAAGGCAGTGACTTCCTTTACTACAGCTTCAGAGTCAGGAAAATGTTCAGCTGAAAGATGACGCGTAAGAGGGCCGAACAAATGGAAGTCGCTTGGAGCAAGGTCAGGGCTATATGGAGGATGCTCGAGGACTTCCAACTTGAAATTTTGCAGCATCTCATTTGTCTTGTTGGCAGTATGGGGACGTGCACTGTCATGCAAAAGCAACATGCCTTTGGTGAGGGGTCTTGGTCACTTCCATGGAATGGCCTTACGAAGTTTCCCAAGGATGTTACAGTAGGAGTCAGCATTTATTCAGCCCTCTTAAATATCATCTTTTGGCTGAACATTTTCCCAATAATGAAGCTGTAGAAAGGGAAGTCACTGCCTGGTTCCAACAGCAGCCCAAAGAATTTTATGCTGCTGGTTTTCAGGGGGTTGTGAAACGATGGGACAAGTGCCTCAATGTACAGAGAGATTATGTTGAGAAATAAAAGCACTTTTCAAATCAGTACTCTTATTTCTTTAAGTTATATATCCATTTGTAACTTACTTACTGACTTACCTACGTATATGATACAAGATTAAATAAATCTCACATATATTGATATGTGTATACCCATTGCTAGGCAACGGCTTGGTAAACACATTCTTGCAACACACGTATGCAACAACTGGACATCCACTGCTAGGTAATGGACCAGTAAACATGTCTTCTTAACAATTCAGGCTGTCTTCTGTGGGGTTATAAAGGGACAAAGGTCACCCGAAGATGAGTCAAGTCTAGTCTTTGGAACTGGCAGCTGCAGAACAATGGCAAGAAAGGAATTAGACTGTGACAACATGACTTCATGGGTGATTTGAAGTGACAGACTCTTATAAACCCATTGCCAGGATATGACTAGTGAAGACTGAGAACCTTAGTGTGTGTGTGTGTGTGCGCGCAATGGTGAATTGGAAAGTTTATAGAATAGTGATAGTGCTGTATTGCCTGTAGTCCTGAACTGTGTGAATGTATAAGGTGCAATAAATCCAATCGTCCAATTCAAAACCCTGTCTTATAAGCTACACACCCCCTCAAATCATGACAATATGTTTAAAAATGTTCTAGTCCCATGATATAAGGTCATAAGTGACAACCTTCTTAAACCCATTTATCTTTCCTCTCACACAGCAATGATTAATACCATATTATGTATTAACTGACATATCGGCATATGTACTAATTAAATGCAGGGAAAACTGTACTGCATGTTCCCCTGATTAACTTTTGGGCTAGTCTTAAAGGAAAAGTTTTCACACATTTCAAGTGTCATTATGAAGAAGCTGTTCCCACTTCCACCTACATACTCATGACTGTGTGAAGGGGCATTCTCAAGATATGCAGCAACAAAAAAGAAATGCCAAAATAGATTTAATACAAAACATGGTATGAGGTTACAGCTCTCCACAGCATCCAGATTGACTCTGGGGTCCACCTAGCCTCCTAACCAGTGGGTACCAGGAGCTCTTTCCATCCAGGTTAAGTGATGGGCGTGAAGCTGACCACTCACCTCCATCCATTGCTGTCATTATTAAAGTTGGAGTTATACCTCCACTCCCAACTCCCCCATATGTCTTCATGGCATAGTCCTTAACTGATTAAGCACATGGACAACTTAACTTTAACTTATCTTACATGTATATACTGTGTATAGTTCATGTATTTGCCAGTGGACAGTGAGGATGGCCTATTTTACAGTGGAATCACTGGCAGATGGAACAGATTTAGTTACTATACTAACACCGTTACCTCTGGGACATGCAAATGCAAATGGCTAGTGTTGAGGAAGTTGTTCTTTGGATCTTCCTTTCTCAAGAAGTTGCGTGCAACTGTAAGTGCTATTCTAGCTGACTCCTTCATTACATCTCCGAGATGACCAGTCAGTTCCAGGGAGCCCTCACCGCTGTCTTCATGAGGGCGTCTGGTTGTCGTTTCAATGTACAGTGTTGAGCCACCTGAAAAACACAGTTTGCTTCTCAACGCCTCAAATACTAACTACACTCCTCATATCCACATCAACATACCAATTCACACAGGACAGACATGATAGCCTTAAACAAAAGGATATGAACTTGTTCAGGACCTACTGCATAATATACGTACATTCAGGGATTGTGTTAATGCTTCATGATTTGTTGCTATGGTAACTATAAAAAAACTTCTTGTCTTTTAGTCTGCAAGTGAACTATACTGACCAAGTGACTGCCGCCTGTCGGCGAAGTTAGTGGCAACTTTTGTGGACAGAGGGTGTTGTGTGGTCAGCACAACAGATTCCCATGGCCGTTAATGTCGGTTTTCTAGACCAGAGTCACTACTTTTCAATTCAAGTAGCTCCTCAATTGTCCTCACGAGGCTGAGTGGACCCCGTTCCAGGCCCACTACTTCTCAGAAAATCTGGTAGCGCCGAGAATCGAACCTGGGACCTCTGGATCTGTAGCCAGAAACCAAACCACATAGGCAGTCACTATGGTAAATAATAATTGTATAATTTCAGAGCTCTCACTCACCATAACAGAACTTATAATCTTGCCTATTACTTTGTACTCATGTGGAACTTGAAAGGGAAAAACACTGACTGAGGGTGTTTGAGTACAAAGTTCTGAGGAGAGTATTAAGATTTACAAGGGAGAACATAAGAGAAGACTGGAGAAAACTGCATAATGAGGAGCTACACAATTTACACTCCTTGCCAAATATTAATAGCACCATCAAATGAAGGAGGATGAGATGGGCACTGCATATAGCACACATATGGTAGTAAAGAGAAATGCATGCAAAATTTTGGTAGGAAAAGTGAAGGAAAGAAAACACTTGGAAGTCTTAAACATATATGGGAGAACATTAAAATGGATCTTAAAGAAACAGAATTGAAGGATTTGGACTGGATTCATCTGGCTGAAGATGGGGACCAGTCCTGGGTTCATGCACTCTTGGTAATGAACCTTCAGGTTCCATAAAATGCTGGAAATATTTCATACTACAAGGTTGGCAGCCAATTTTTAATATTAATATCAAAAAATGAAATCTCCAACCAACTGGACCATGCACATATGCTACTCTAACACTGTGATGCATGGCTGGTAAAGGCAGATATTGCCATTTGCTGAAAATCAGAATTGCTAAATATTTTCACTGGATACATGATGTATTATATAGTCACAGCTTTGCATGCTGTTTTATGGAATTAAGCTTTTAGGCCAGCCTGGGGGAGAGATTCAGTGAAAAGACACTGCACATATTTTCTCATGTACATTTGTAGGGATAATGGCTGCTAGAGAGCATACCATTATCTTCCTGAAGACACTACCCATTCAGTATTATTTAGGGGGATGGTCTCCAAAAATTACTAAAATTTAATCAAAATTCCTGGAGGCGTTTTTGAGAAAATCACAATTTTATGTTTGGGGGACCCCATTCCCAAAGCCAGAATGTTCATATTCACCAGACAAGGTAAGGTAAAAAAGGAAAATTTGTTCCTGTGCTTAATTACCATGCCATGAAAATGTGAGGGAGTGCAGGTGCAGGTATAGCTCCACCATGCTCGACCTCAGCACTACATGGAGTTGAGTGCTCAGCTTCATGCTTTGGCCCCTTTAACCCTGGGAAAAAGATACCCCGGTATCCATGATATAGGAGGCTGGGTGGGAGCCCCACATCTGGTCTGGATGTTGAAGGGAAGAGAAAAATTTATTTCCCCTAAAATCTGTATAAGTGCAAGAAAAAACTTCACTAACACAAATCTGAAGGCATAAACAAAATTGACTTTCATTTAACTCTTTAAAGTACAGCAGTTACTATAGGACACTAAATGCTCTAATATTAAATGGGTGGTTGCCTTGTATCAAATGAGCCATTACCCAGAAATGATAAGGGGGGGGGGACACAGACAGCAAGGTGATCTCATAAGCCTACTTTTTTTCAAAATAGGGTAAACATGCTAAAAAGTTCTGCACTCTCTCCACAGTGTACTTATGTATTTTGTACTAATATCAAAATAAACCGATTATTTTCCTATATAGCACTGGCTGATTGGTCTTTGTTACAGGCACAAAGTACATTTTTTATGGTGATAACTGATTTTTTTAAATATTTATGATGAAATTCATGCTTCAAATTTAACAAATTTTGCACAAATGGTGGCTAGTTCTTGAACAATCTGATCATAAGGTTTACCTTTTATATTATATCTGTGAGATTCTATGTGTAAAATATATTAGAATATTTAAATATACCCATTGCAGTCCAAGCAAGTCCCATCACAACTCCTGGGGGAGTCACATCATACATTCTGTCATGTGTAAACACAGGTTTCCCAACAAAATCAGGCAAGTTGTTTGGGGTGACATCAACTTCAGCAACTTCATTTTGCACAACTTTAAATGCTACTTTTCTCACCACCTGAAATCCCAAGACAATCAAGAAGACAAACTTCATTAATGGAAATTGTATCTTCTAACTGAAACATGGAATTCATACAAAATATAACTTATGGAAAGAATCTGACCTTCTCAATGTGCTTCTGTAAATTTCTCACCCCACTCTCACGACAGTATGATTTGATGAGCATGTGTAACGAATCATCCTGGATCCGAATCTGTAGAAAAAGCATGAGAATTTAATGCCGTATATATTTAACATACTAACACAGAACATGATAGAAAACAGTAATCATCAATTTATACTTTAAAGAATATCAATCATTATAACCATACTACTTTTATGCATCAAAATCACCAATAATATGGCGTAATCATTGTAAAATGAGTACATCCTACAATAACAATTTCATTATAAATAAAATGCATAACTACAAATCATTTGCAATACCAATTTCTTCATGCTGCATATATGAAAAATATGTAAAGAAGAGGCCCTTTTATGGTATTTTCTTCATAATTAATGACCGCTAACTATCTGCAACATTTTCCAATAACCTATTGCACAGACTGTATTTGCAGTTTTGTTTTCAGCACCTTTAACACACACTCTGTGCCTCCTGCTTGTTTATGAGATGGAGAGTCTACTTTCCAGAATCTATGTGTAAGTCGTGTACCTCAAAATTGTATCCAATGTTAAATGTCAATCATGTTCTGTCCTCTGCACTTCTTCAGTTCGGCGGCTTGTTCCACTGTGTATTGTGTCACCTGGCTAGCGACAGGATTCAACAACTTTCTCTGATTGTGATTTGCACTGTTTAAGTTAAAAATTGATCAACTCTAAATTATGGAATCAAGGCAGAAGTGTTTTATGTTTAAACATGAAACTTGAAAACATACATTTTTTTTAAGCCATCAAGTCAGAAATTCAATGAAGAATGAAAAAGGAGGACAATACAGATTTCAACAATCCTCACCATTTTGAAGAACAAAGACAAATTATAATTGGTTGTTTTGTATCAAGGAAGACAAGTGCCACAAATATCAAGTGCAAAGAATGAAGATTTGGAATCCCACTACATAAATGGTTTTGCCATGAAATGCTGGATGGTGTAATGGTTACCAGACCAAGGAAAAAGCAGCCATTCTGTGATGCGCATGAAATGCAAGAACGTTCTGTACTCTGAACATTACAGGTTAAGATGCAGTTTAGGTGCTACAATCATGNCTTGTGCGACCCCGTACGGGGTCTTTAGTCGTTTAAAGGATATATATACACACACACATATATATTACAGTTTAGAGTAATGTCGATTGAAAACGATCTCTTACATATGTGATAATAAAACACTGTACTCCAACTAAAGAAAGCTGAACCAGCATCCAACATAGGATATGTAAGAATCAGTCTAACTGTAACATTTCTGTGCATTATATTGTGACATGTCAACACACTGCCAGGCAACAGCTTGTTAAACACCCTGCGATACATGCATGCAACAATGGAAAAATGGGGTTATGCAACCTGCTTCTAGGCACCAGCTCGGTAAACACACTTCAGCACAGGTGCAATGACGTCACACTCCAACAGTACTAGCTATCACATGACTTGTTTTCTGTGTTGTCAAGTGTGGCACCTAAACAACGAAGACCTGTTTAAGCTTAGATTAGTGGGGTCTCATGACCTGTGACAAAAAGCATGAGTGGCAGGTGGAGACTACAGTCCATGCTCTGCTCACATCTGTAGGCAGAACCCCGATGGGGAAAGTAAGGACATGTAACATACATAATTTAGCAAATTCAATGAAATTGAGAAAGGCTTGCGGACTTAATGGTATTCCAAATGAATGCCTTAGGCATCTTCCAAGAAAACTACTGGCACATCTGACACATTTATTTAATCACTGCCTTTGGCTGTCCCAATTTGCAATACCCTGGAAGGAAGCAAAAGTTATAACATTATAGAAACCTGGTAAGGACCCAAAATTTCTATAACATTTCCATCTAATTAGCCTCTTTTCTACAATATGCAAGCTATTCGAGAAAGTTATTCTGAAAATAGTCTAAAGGCACATTGAAGAAAGAGGCCTTCTTAATGCAAGCCAATTTGGTTTCCGTGCCTGTCACAGCATGAGACTTAAGGACCATGTAACCTTAAATTTCAACAATAACATGCCCAGATATTAAAAAGCATTTCACAAAACATGGCACCTTGGCTTGCTAATTCGCAGAATTAAAATTTTCAATCAGTTTAATTAAGCTTATTAGCTCTTTCCTTTCTCAGAGAAAATTCAGTTGAAGGTGAAATGTCTACATGAAGGGATATACAAGCAGGTGTACCATATGGTTCTGTCCTGTCCCTCACATTGTACAGTCTATATATAAATGATATGCTCCAAACACCTGGTGTCCACCTAGGTCTCTTTGCTGACAACACCTGTATATGTGGGGCAATCCAAAAGTTACCGAAATTTGAATTTTGCGCGCGAATGGTTATGAGTACATCGAAATACCGCTAGGTGTCTCTTCACACATCCTTCTTGAATCAGTGTGACAAGCAGCGTAAAGTTGAGTGGTTGGGTTTATTTTTGGTGAACGTATTTCCACTGTTGTGTTTCCGTGAGTTTGCAGTTTTGCGATGGCTGACCTGAGAGAGCAGCGTGTCTGTATAAAGTTTTGTTTCAAACTTGGGAAAACCGCTGCAGAAATGCACCAAATGTTGAAGCAAGCTTTTGGTGAAAACAGTTTAGGCCAGACACAAACTTACAACTGGTATAAGCGTTTTAAAAATGGCTGAACACTGACTGATGATGACGGTCGTTCGGGACGGCCGTCAACAGGCAAAACACCAGAAAATGTTGCGAAAGTTAGGGATCTGATTCTGCAAGATTGTAGACTGACCATCCAAGACCTCTGTAACACCCTGGGACTAAGTTATGGTACATGTCAACAAATTTTGTCAGAGGAACTGAACATGAGGAGGATTGCGGAAAAGTTTGTGCCACGACTGCTGCAAAATGAACAGAAACAGCATCGCTTGGAAGTCTGCAGGGAGATTCAGCAACAGCTTCAAGAGGATCCAAACTTTCTTTCGAAGGTTGTCACTGGTGATGAAAGTTGGGTTTATGGCTACGACCCTGAAAGCAAGCAGCAATCGTCGCAATGGAAGAGCCCTTCTTCACCTCGGCCAAAAAAAGCTCAACAAGTCAAGAGCAACATTAAGTCCATGTTGACATGCTTTTTTGATATTGACGGGATTGTTCATAAGGAGTTTGTCCCTCCTGGTCACACAGTCAATAAAGAGTTCTATCGCGATGTTCTAAGGCATTTGAGGGAGGACATGAGGAGAAAACGTCCAGAGAAGTGGAGCACGAACGAATGGGTACTCCACCATGACAACGCACGACCACATACAGCTTACATTGTGCAGGAATTTTTGGCTAAAAACAAGATGACAGTTCTTCCCCACCCACCGTACTCGCCAGACTTAGCTCCATGCGACTTCTTTCTCTTCCCCAAGATGAAAGTCAAGTTGAAGGGGTGAAGATTTCATACAGTTGAGGAAATTCAAGTGGAAATGCAGACCCTAACACCCTAACAAAGAAAGACTTCCAGGATGCATTTGAAAAGTGGCAGAAATGCTGGGATCGGTGTATGCGCTCCCAAGGGGACTACTTTGAAGGTGATGGTGCAAAATAAGATCTAGGTAAGATGTAATAGTTTTTATTAATATATTTCAGGAACTTTTGGATTGCACCACATATATGCAACAGACCGCAAAGAGGGTTATGTTGTCAGAAAGCTGCAGCGAGGTCTCAGTGCTACTGAGATGTGGTGTGAGTGCTGGAACATAAAAATCAATGAAGATAAGACTCAGGCAATCTACTTTTCTCATCAACTTAGGCCCCTGAAGGCTCATCTTACATTGAACGGATGGAATATCCCCTTTGTCAATCATGTAAAATATCTCGGCGTAATCTTCGATAAGATGATTTCATGGAGACAGCACTTAAAAATGATTGAAGCCAAGGCCTTCACAACATTTATCAGAATCTACTCCCTATTGAAAAGTGGGCATTTAAGCACCAACATCAAAGTAACGCTCCATAAGGCACTGATCAGATCAGTAATAACATACACTGGGAATTAGCAGCAGACACCTACCTTTTAAAATTGCAGTGCCTGCAAAACAAGGTTTTGTGCACCACTGTAAATTTTCCAAAGGTGCATACTGGCCTGCAATTTGCACACAGCTTTTAACCTTCCATATGTATGTGACTATATAACAAAATTGTACAGGAAACAAGCAAAGTCGTACAAAATCATGAGAATGAACATGTTCACGGTACAGAACACGGTGAAGCCACATATAGAAAATATAAGAGGCTTAAACTTGGTGGTGGTCAAGCTTACAACTGTTCAAGGGACAAGGCTGCCACTGTAACATAAGATATGTAAGACAGGCATGTCCACTCTGCAAAGCCTGTACTGAGACAAGACTTGTGCATAGTGCAAAAGCCAGAATTTTTCAATAACATGCTATGCATGTGAAATGTATATTTTATGAAAGGCCAAGCATATTCATAAGACAACCCCATCTTCTTGTTAGAGAGGATGTTACATAAGGACTATTACCGCAAGGGTTCAGCTGGGGAAAGAAAGATGTCTGGTCATGGGTCTCGAGGGGCTTGATGCCAAGACAGACTGAATGGCAGTAAACTGTCAGTCATACAGTAACTCTGACTTTGACTTAGATTAGTGGAGAGTCCAGGAGGGTTCAGCAGTTGAGAGTACAAGAACAGGAATGAAGCGTAAATTATGAAGATTAATTGACCACAGATTAGGACAGAAGAGTACAGAATGATTGAAGATGAAGGAACGAGAAGACTTCATAGTAATTTGAAGTGCTATTTTTTGTGTTGAGATCCATTTCTAGGAAATGACTAATGGAAACAGAGAATCCTAGTGCATGTGCAATGGTGAACTGGAAATTTGTGGAAACTGACGATAGCACTGTATTAATTGTAATTAAGAGATACTGTAACCAAAGTGCCAATAAATCAAATCATTCAAACCTGTTCATTCTCCAGTCCTGAATCTTTCATTGCCTGGGGGACTAGATACTGTTTAGCTATGGCAAGTTTCTCTTCAGCAACATAACCTGACATATCTATCATTTCCATTCGATCTCGGAGGGGCTCTGGTATGGTGTCAATTATATTAGCTGTGCAGATAAACAGAACCTGAAAGTAAGACCACAGCCTATAAAAAAATCACATCAATCCTTTCATTACATTATAATATGAAACTCATTTAACTCTACAAATGCCAAGTAACAAAAATTTCAATCTCAAGCAAGTGCATGTGGTGCCCAGATAAATAATTTTGAACTTTACAAAAACTCTATATCTGACAGTCTGTGATATCTGCTGGCAATGAATCTTACTTGTACAGCGAAATCCCGATCTAGTCCTATATTTTAGAGAATATGTTTTTTCTGGTTCCATTCAAAGATTAATGCAAACAATGTATTATTTTCCCATATTAGAGAACGCTAATTTAGTAAATAGTACAAGACATATTTGAACTTTCAGAACCTGTACCTTGATTTAGAGTGACAAACAATACACATTCTATCGAAAATCATTACAGCACAACCATAATCTTTGGCAAATGATATCATATTGAACACACACCGAAACTAAATGCTTATGGTGTCACAGTTCCTATGATTCCTGACTGAGGGTCCTTCAATGTTTATTTCATATCAATTATTTTAGAAATTATCTGATATTACAGTTATGGAAGTATATTTATTTGTGAAGAAAAAATTTCTTTTACTATTTTTGTAACAAAATTATTTTATTATGGCTACATACAGTAAATCTTATAAGATGAACAATTTCTTGATGTAATCTTGAATAACCCCCATTTACACTAAGCCATTCCCCCAGGGAAGCATTAAATGGGAATTTCACTGTATTTGAAGTTGTTAGTGAATGTGTAACAAACAAACAAACACAAACAAACATTTCCTTAATTAAAAGTTCTGAAATTGGGGTGCATCTTACATTCAACGGTGTCTACGAACTGATGTTGAAAAATTATACAGTGTACCAAAATGATTGGAGTGGCTTCAAGTGGCCATAATGGCTTTGGAAATGCATGCACTGCATGCAGAGGTATCTTTCCCACATTGAACAAAACAGCAGGTATTCAAGTTGTGACTGCATGCGCAAACCCCCCTGTCTCTTTCAGTCTGTGACATTGCAAAGAGAAAATGCCGACTTTGGAGCAGAAAGCGTTTTGTGTGCTGCAGTTTGCGAAGTATGAATCTGTTGTTTCAGTTCAGAAGGCCTTCTGGCAAAAATTTCAGAGAGATCCCCCATTTGCCAACAGCATTAGGCATTGGTATCAGCAGTTTCAGACAATGGGATGCCTTTGTAAAGGGAAAAGTACAGGACATCCAAATGTGTAGAAGAAAGTGTGGAACACGTGAGACAGTCTTTTCTTCGCAGTACAAAGAAAGCTGTGCGCCATGCTAGTCATGAATTGTCGAGGTCGACTATGACTGTGCAGGGGGTGTTGCGAAAGAGACTGGAAATGAAGCCCTGTCGTCTTCTCCATGTATAGTTTCTTCAGTCATTTTGATACACGTTGTTATGACTATGTGCAAGGAAAATCTTCATATGTATAACACTTGTCATGGGACAATAAACACAAAGATAACAACAAAGGAAATGCTGAAAGTATTTCTACATTCATTATCTATGTATTGTTAAAAATGTCATTATGTGTGACAACATATGAAGCACATAACTGGAGGCTTGGAGGGTGAAAACATCAAACAGTTTTTGATACTAATACTCTGTGATGAAGAGACATCAGTCAGCATTCACTGTTACACCTATGCTCATTCTTGCATCTTAAAGCCTTCCTCTTTATCAGCTCTTGAGAAGGGGAAAGGATGGGCATCAATGATACTGTTGAACAGCTGGTTATCATCTCCGTTCACTGCTGGAGTTCCTTAGTGCTACAAGTGGGTGTATTCTAACTTTTACACAAAATTTCAAACTTCAACTACTGCCACTAATTACTACTTTACAACGTCTTCAGTTCAGTTCAAATATGACATTGCATTATCTCTTTAAAGCCCAGTGGTTACTATATGTACCATCTGTTTTAATGCACTAAAACTGCACTCTGTCCACAGAGTATATGTGTGTGTTTCATATGGTTCTCACAATAAACGATTGGTTCCTTAACTCTTTGACTGGCACGAAGGGTATTTAAATCTCACTCATGTCCTGGCAGGCCCTTTAAACCTTATGTCGCTAAAATGCATGTAGTTACTTTTTCCTAAACAACTTCAACAAAAATTGGTTTTTAAAAACGAAATTTTTAGGAACTAATTAAAATACAATATTTTATGCAATAAATGCTTTTCCACACCTCTTTATTTGTTTTTCTTCGTGTGATAAACATTGAAACATGAAAGTTTGCAGAGAGCCACACCACAGCCTGCACACATGATACTTGTTTCTTTTCTAACCTTGTGCTTAGCACTCACGCGACACTTTCTCAGGGCACCATTCTTCTTATTGTTACTGTTAGGAACATGGACCATTTTGTGAATNAGAAGGGACGAGATTGTCAAAGCGTTAAAACACGCCAACGCCAGGGAACGGCTGGCATCGTCCGGGCGTTAAAACACGCCCGCGCCAGTCAAAGAGTTAAACAGCATTAACTGCTTGGGCTTTGTAGCAGAGACATAATGTGTTTCCTATGAGGTAGGGACTGAAATTTTTTATGTTATTTAGAAGAGATCCAGTCTTCAGAGGATTAAAATGAAATGAAGGGTGCAACTTGCAGCTGACAGCATCTTCTTCCCTGAAAAACCTATTAATAAATCAAGGGTGCATCTTACAATCAAGAAATTATGTTACATTACATTACATTACACTGCATTGCATTCCATGGATCCAAAGTTAGTTAAAATGACTGCAGGATGTGGAACATGTCATATAAATACAAAACATATGTACAGACCGAATGGAGTTCTCACACAAGAGAAACCAAGAATACACAGTGACTACACACAAGGCTATTTAAAGATACATAAGTTATTTTCTAGACAATAGGTATTCATCAACAGAGTAGAATGAATGTGTAATTAAGTATCGTTTCAGTGCTATTTTAAACTGTGTCTTTTCATTCATAAGACCTTTGAGATCATATGGCAGGTTAATTTACCCGTGAAAGAAGAGCAGATTTGACAACCTAAAATGACAGCTCAGCATTACANCGCAGGAGCCGCGGCCACGGAATTTAAATGACCACGTCAAAGGGTTAAAAGTGTAATATTTTGGGGCTAACACAGATATATCAGCCCTGATTCTACATATTATTTACCTTTGACAGATCAACAGGAACATCAAGGTAATGATCCAAAAAATTTGCATTTTGTTCTGGATCCAGCATTTCTAGAAGTGCAGATGATGGATCGCCTTGATATCCCCTGGAAATCAAAATTCAATCTTATGAAGTACAAAGCCACAATTTTTATTACTGGTAATTAAAACAAACTATACTGTCCAATATTGTGAATGTGTACTATTACAAATCTTCACTCTTCAGAGTTTAATAAACCAGGTGCCTTTAAAATTCATTAAGCCTACTAATAAACGGATTATCTGACATATTAACTATAACTCTTTCTTACACATTTAATTTCCAACCTCATCCCTACCAGCAGTAACATGGGGAAAGATCACCTATCTCAGTAACTCTACTAAGTCTCTCTCTGTGTAGAAGCCACAGTAATACAGAGAGTCCAGATGAAAGGTATCCAAAATAAAATAATTTTATTTCAGAAATCATTTATTATATATATTTATGGGTTATGCCATCTCCCAGCCATCACTCTGTCCAGGTGACTCCTAACATGGTGGCAGAAATGTGGTGGTGCCCCATCTTGTTGTAGGAGAGTTTGAGGTGGTAACTGGGGCAACGCATACAACTCCAGCATGTCCAAGTAAGAACGTCCAGTCAGTCTTTCCCGAAAAGAAAAACGGTCCAATCAACTTGTCGTGCATTAAGCCGGCCCACATATTCACTTTGGGGCTGCCTCTCTCCAACTCACATGTGAAATGTGGAGTTTGAGTGCCCCAAATCCTGCAGTTGTTCCTGTTTACAACTCCACTGACATGGAATGTTGCCTCATCTGAGAAGCACACTTGGTGGAGGAAACAGGGTGACGCGTCAGTTCTTTCTAGCATGTCCACAGCAAAGTTTGTGCATGCGACTTGGTCACTCAGTTTTAGTACATGAATCATCTGAAGTCTTGTATAGTCTTAGGCAGAGCTTTTTGTGTATCACATCGTGCACTGTTAAATGTGGAATTTGTGACTGATAGCTTATAGCATGAATTGATTTCTGTGGACGTCACTGGAATGCCTCTCTAATGTGAATGACATTTTCTTCAGAGGTCTGTATCTTTCTAGGAGATTTTACATAAAACAGACTACCTGTAGTCCTCAGTCTGTTGTCCTAAAACTGAATGTTTTTCCATGTAGGAGGTTGACTTCCATACTGTGTTCTAAAACGGCACTGGACAGGTGTAAGAGATTGAAACTCTGCTAGCCACAACATGCACTGAACCTGTTCCTGTGGTGTCAACATCATTCCTGAGCTTGCCGAAGGTCACCAGCTGGTGCAGGCGTGTAAGCCAGGGATGAAATAAAAACTTTCTGAGTTTTCCTTTCTGAAGACATAACCCTGATATATGTATGACAATTAGTTTCCAAGATATAAATTTTATATTTTGGATGCGGTAGTGTAGTTGGTTGAGGCACTATGCTACAAGCTGGAAGGTTGCAGGGTTCAAGTATCAATGAGGTCATTTGATTTTTTTTTTTCAATTGACCTAATCCTTCCAGCCACATTATGCCTCTAGGGTTGACTCAGCCTCTGACAGAAATAAGTTCCAGGAATATTCTTGGGGGTAAAGGGTGGCCGGCACATAGGGCTGACAACCTTGTCGCCATCTATGAGCTGATTGTCTAGAAAATGTGGGAACCTCAACACCTCACAACCGTATAGGTCTCCATGGCTTGTTACAGGGATACCTTTACTTTACTTTTTACATCTGGACACCCTGTGTCTGTTTCGGGACTTGTGATTATAAAACACTTTTAGTTCACATCTCACATAGATGAAAATATACATGAATACTCACTTTCCAATTTTATCTACCTCATCTATCAATATTAATGGATTTTCAGTCTTGGTTTTCTTGAGGCACTGTATTACTTTCCCTGGCATAGCACCAACATATGTCCGACGATGACCTTTGATCTCGGCAACATCTGTCATTCCACCCACACTGAACCTAAAATACTGGAAATGTATTTCTGAGAATTAATGCCTTGAAATATGTACACTGTGAGATTCGTATCAAATAATCAGAATTACTGATTGCACATTTCCACTTAAATTAAGTAAAAGTTGTTTCAGCAAGAACAAAACAGAAAAATAAAATGTGTCAACTTGTTAAACTAGAAGACCAGAATAGGACAACAGTGACAATGTCCAAGTGTTATCAATATTGGATACTTTCATAAACTGGCTCAAAAATCAGTATACAGTTGCACATGTTGAATTTCTCTTCTGGGATATAATGCTGTGTAGTCTGTTACATGTCAACTGACGTTTCAGAGGAATATGTCATCGTCGTCATCAGGGTTGAAGAGAAAGCTAAATGAAGCATGCAGCAAGCTAAGTATATGGCTGTAAAAATGGACTATATAGAATCGGAGGGTGCGTTGGAAGGCAACTCATCAGTTCCCATTGGCTCCATCAGAGAAGTAAGGAGAACCAACAGGAGACAGCAGAAGAGTAACTTGATGGGGGAACTTTTAAGGGTCAGTATGGATAGAGGAACACAAGGGAGAGAAGTCATATGGGGGCGTGATAGGCAGAGAACTGAGAAGGATGGCTGTGTGGTTGGAGATAAGAAGAGCAAAAACAGTGAAGGAAGGCTGCAGAAAAACAGAAAGAAGGTTCAGGGTTGATGGATGCCCAGTGAGAACACGGTTGTTGGCCTGGTAATGGCAGTGTGCATGGACCTATGTGGCCCAGTGAAAAACCCACATAGGTCCATGCACACTGCTCATATCACAGCACCAGCGGTGACTTCTCCAGGCACCCATCAACCCTAAACCTTTCCTCCTCCCTTCTTCCCCCAGCCTTTGTTAGCTGTCTTTGCTCTTCATAACATGGGGTATTACAGTGGATTACAGACTTCGTTAGTGAAGTCATGAATTCATGATACATGCTGTATATACAAATAAATTGCTTTCTTAATAGAGTCTATGCTAATAAATTCCCCATTAAAATTCTTCGTGACTTTTGAGTAGAAGCGTTTGGCCATTTTTTAATTATAGGCAAACACACACATCTTATGTACATGTAAACTGAAACATAATTGAAGAGTGCCATTCCTGCCATGTAACACCATGTAGTAAAAGTAAGTAAAGTAAAGCTATCCCTGTAACAGGCCATGGAGGCCCATAGGGTTGTGAGATGTTGAGGTTCCCACATTTTCTAGACAATCGGCTCATAGATGGCGGCAAATCTGTCAGCCCTACGCGCCGGCCACCCTTTACCCCCAAGAAGATTCTAAGAATATTCCTAGTACCCATTTCTGTTAGAGGTTGAGTCGACCCCAAGGCTATAGTGCACCTGAAAGGATTAGGTCAATTGAAAAAATCCATTGACTTCATCAGGACTTGAACCCGTGACCTTACAGCTTGTAACATAGTGCCTTAACCAACTACGCTACTGTGTGCCCCCAACACCATGTAGCATCCAATAGAATTTTACCAGTGTGCTTCTCATCTTCAAGTACAAAGAGTAAGCCAAGCAACAGCTAGAAGAATGCATCACACAGTGCCAGTCTGCCAGAAGTTTACTGACATTCCAAAGCACACTCTCCTGAAATGTCTTAAACTTCTACCAGAGAACACAGTGCCACATCCAAGAAGACTGTACTATTCAGTCACCACTGTGAGAACCTCAAATACAACATAAAATAAAGTTATTGTGTGTATGAAAATACAGCGTACAGCTTACAGCATTTGCTGCTAACCTACCTCTCTATTAAGTGCTCGGGCAATAGATCGCGCTATACTAGTTTTCCCAACTCCAGGTGGTCCATAAAAACAAAGAATTTTTCCTTGAGTGCTACCCTTCAATTGGCTCACAGCAATAAACTCTGCAATAAAAAATACATAAAAATTTAAATTATGAAGAATTTACAGATATGGAAATAAGATGTGGGTTTTGATTGACAGAGGCAAGAAATATATGGAAGCAGCAGAGATGAATTTCTTATATTTCTTCTGGGATTCACAGAACTGGATCATCTAACAAAAATAGATATGTGGTCTGTTCAAAAAGTTCTGGAACCGTTTTTTAATATTTATTTTGGACATGCTTGCAACTGAGTGAGCCTTATCGTATTCAAAGTACTGCCCTCCTGGACTGATGCACCACTCCCAGTTCCATTGCCATCTCTGGAAACAGTCCTAGTATACCTTTTTCGGGATGGTGTGTAGCTCCATCTGTGAATTTTCTGTAATCTGTTGAATTGTCTGAAATCAGTTTGGGAAATAAGAAAAAGTGTTCCGGAGCAAGGTCAGGTGAGTAGGGTGGCTGAGGAAGCACAGTTGTGTTCGTGTTGGCCAAAAAGCCACAAATCAGTAGTGATGCATGAACTAGTGCATTGTCATGATGGAGGAACCAGGGGTTGTTTCTTCACAACTGAGGTCCTTTTCTCCTGACATTCTCTCTTACAGGTTTCAGCACTTCAAGATAACACCAGAAAATCACTGTCTGCCACTGACATAAGAATTCATGATGTGCAACACCCTTGATGTCAACATGACTTTCACGTTTGACTTGACATGCTGCGCCTTTTTTGGTCTTGGCAAATTTTTTCCAACCCATTGTGAGGACTGCATTTTCGTTTCCCCACTGTATTCATAAACGCATGTTTCACTGCCAGTTATAATTCTTTTCAGAAAGTTTTCATCCTTGCTAGTGCAAACCAAAAGTTCCTGAGAGATGGTGTGTAGTGATGTGTCAGAAGTAATGGGACAAACTTTGGAACTACGTGGCACATTTCTAATTTTGTTATAATCCTATCAATATGTATTACTCTTCTGCTATTTTCCACACCATCAAACAATGATCAGAATGCATTATTTCATGGACGCGCACAACATGAGCATCGTCACGTGAAGCTGAGGGCCATCCCAAATGCGGCTCATCATGTGTTGATTGCCAACCATCCTTAAATCGCTTAAACCATTCATAAAATGTATGGCTCATGCATTGATCACCATAAACGTTTTCCCTAGTTTGAAGCAAAATTTAATGTTAAAACGTTGCTCATGAATATCAGCCATCTTGAATATCACAAGAGACACTCTACACGCACGTGAACAAATAGCTCTAGGGCGATGAATGGTCACAGCAGGATGATAATTAGGAAGCACGCCACTAGGCAGCACAACTTATCTCAAACTGTTAAGACGTTGAGTTAGCGTGCTATTTCAAAAGTTCTGAAACTTTTTGAAGAGACTATGTACACGGGAAAGGATGTAAGTTCCAAAAATTTAAATACATTGGAAGACATACACAGTTATCAGCAAAACTGGGGGATATAGTGTGTGGAGAAGGAAGAACATGCGGAAAGAATGCAGGGAAATAGACTATTAAGTCAGAACAGTAGTAAAAACCCACTGGTGAAAGAAACAGAGGTTGTCCCCGAAATAATGGGTTCCCTCAGTGGGTACCATTCAATTACAGAACTGCCACAGACCCAATATTCTCTTCTTCACATCCTCCATGCCATAGTGGTCTTCATCCAGTATCTCAATTGCTTTCTTCAAGTTCAAGTTCTCTGTGCTAGTCACACCCCATGGAAGTGAAGTCAACCAGTCCAAGTAGTTCCGTGTGACACTAGAAAGTTAGAAAAATATTCCAGAGTCAGAACTGATTAGAGCCTCTCATTCTTACAATAAATACATAATATACCTAAATCATTACAGATTCTGTTAAGAATTCTGCCTGCTCTTCAAGCGCTGCAAAGGTATGTGAGCTAGGCCACACCACAGCTCAAGCGGTTAGTCACTGGCTTTCCTCCGCGGCGGCCCGGGTTCGATCCCGGGTCTGGTCAAGTGGGATATGTGGTGGACAAAGTGGCGCTGGGGCAGATTTTCGCCGAGTACTTTGGTTTGCCCTGCCAATCTTCATTCCACCAAATTCTCCATCATCATAATCACCTGGGGCAGGTGGCCGCCATGCCGAGTGGACCCAGCTGGACTCCACCCCCCACTTAGCGAATAATAATAAAAAAAAAGGTATGTGAGCTACGGTTACAACCCAAAAACCATAAATAGAAGTTTGGATATTTTTTAACCTGAGTCACAGCAAAAATGCTCTAAAATCAAAGTGAGGAGCATGCACTAAGCCTTGAAACTTTCACTGCAGAACACAGTGACCATCACATTACAATCATTCAGCATCCTGCTGTACAGTGGCTCCAACCACCTCAGTTCTTGTATATCAGTGATATCTAGTTTAGCTATCTAGTTGTTCAAGTAGCATTTTTAGTGCTCCGGCTCTGTAAAGAGATAATACATTGCAAGATCTAATTCTCAAATCCTTTAAACATTTTCCAGGTCGTCCGGCTACTCTTCCCTCGGATTTCTGAACAATTTAGTTTTTACAGTGTGAGGTTGTTAGCCTCATGCCCAACCCTCAACCTGGAGGACCAGGGTATCCCTCTCTGTCTGGCTCCTACCCCTTGACCTGTCTGGCATGGGTGGCCCTACCAGCAGCTACACTACCGCTGGCATAGCTCTCAGGGTACTCACGATGATTATCTTTATATAGAACACCATACTGATGTGGGTTTATGATGGTAAAGTTGGAATATATACAAATTATACTTCCTAAAGAATTAATGTTCATTTAACTTACTTGAATTCTGATGAGTGACTCTCAAGGAAACCAAGCTTGTTTAGCTCTTCATCTAGAACCTCCATCACACTTTTTGGAACAGTTTTTCCCTGTAGTAACCAGACACAAATTACACATCTTCAGAAGTGTGGAGGGAGAAAACGTGAAAATTACCATCTTCTGGGATATGACATCATGCAAAAGGTAAAGCTATCCATGTAACAGGCTGTGAAAGGTTTGTGAAAGGTCAAAGCTCCCACATTTTCTAGATAATCAGTTAACAGATGGTGGTTAGGTTGTCAGCCTTATATGCTGGCCGCCCTTTACCTCTCAGGAAGATTCTGTTAGTGGCTGAGTTGAATCCATTGCCATAGTGTGGCTGGAAGGATTAGGCCAACTGAAAATTCCAATGACCTCATCGGAAATCAAACCCATGACCTTCTGGCTTGTAGAATAGCACCTCAACCAACTAGGCTACCATGTGCCCCTGACACCATGCAGTCTAGTAAATATTTGCTGACATTTTGGAAGGACCTGCTCCTTCTACCCTGTACCTTGAAGACAGAGGCAGCATGTTCCTCTGAAACAGTGAATATCCACCGGACTACATGACATCACATCCCACTCTGGAGATGGTGGTAGAAGGTTGTTACATAGTTCAGTGTTAGCTTGTGTTTACTCTTGCTCTGGTGTTTGCTCTCCTATTCTACTTACGTAGTAAAATGACCGCAAAGTTCTACTGCCAATCCCTTTCGTAAAATTAATATAAATATGATTCAAATATAAGCACTGTAGTTCACACTAGCCAATAATGTTCTGGTGATAATTCACCCCATAAATCAGTGCCAAGACACCAAAATAACATGTGAAGACAACATGAGTGCTGCATGCTATCAATGAAAAGTGTTTGTGTCTAGCTTTCATTTATTTGTCTAATGTCTAAGAAGTTTACAGAACTATATCCTCCCCCCCCGGGGAAAGAGCCACTGGTACCCATTGGATAAAAAGTTGGGTGGACTCCAGCCAGTCTGGACACCATGGAGAAAATTCTTGACCCTACTGGGCCTTGAACTCTGACTCCTCAGTCATCCAGTCCGTAGCTAGTTGCTATACAATGCTATCCTGGTCGATCAATAAGTACCCGTGTTAGGCATAAAGACACAAGTTTTTCACATTTTTTTTTTATTTTTCAACATAATCTCCTTTGAGGTCGATACACTTTTCCCAATGTTTCTGCCATTTCTTTAACCCCTCCAAAAAATTCTTCAAAATACGCTTCTGTCTCGGCGATAACCTCCTCATTTGAGCTGAATTTTTTCCCCCTGAGCCATGTTTTCATGTTGGGGAACAGAAAAAAGTCGCAGGGAGCCAGGTCGGGCGAGTACGGTGGGTGCCGCAGCAATTCGTAGCGCAGTTCATGCAATTTGGCCGCGACAATTCCGGATGAATGTGCCGGTGCATTATCGTGGTGCAAAAAGCACTTTTTTCTTAGCCAAATGGGGCCGTGTCTCCTTCAATTTCTTATCGAATAAGTCCAATAATTCACTGTAGTACTGCCCTGTGATCGTTCTTCCTTTCTGCAAGAAGTCCATGAGGATTATTCCCTTAGAATCCCAAAAAATCGTGCCCACAACCTTTCCAGCCGATGGGACCGTCTTTGCCTTCTTCAGAGCAGATTCACCTGGAAGAATCCATTGTTTTGACTGTCGCTTGGTCTCTGGCATATAATAATGTATCCAGGTTTCATGAATGGTGACGACGCGATACAAAAACTCCTGCGAATTTCGCTTAAAGAGGTCCAAACACTGCTTTGACATTGACAGCCATATCCGCTCATTGTCCACCGTGAGCAATCGCGGCACCCATCGGGCCGACACCTTTCTCATACTTAAGTTATCATGTAAAATATTGATTGTTGTTCCGTACGACACACCTATGGCCTCTGCTACTTCGTGCACTTTAGTTCGGCGATCAGCGAGAATCATGTCGTGGACCTTTTCAACGATTTCCTCGGTAACGACGTCTGCTGGGTGGCCTGGCTGCTCCTCATCAAAAACAGATGTACGACCACGTTTAAATTCGTTGAACCAATATCTCACGGTTGTCATAGATGGTGAAGGGTCCCCATAGAGGGCATCCAACTTCGCTTTTATTTCTTCGCATGTTTTTCCATCCAAAAATAAAAAGCGAATTACGGATCGATATTGCACTTTTCCCATTGTATCAAGAAAGACGAAACACGTCTGATGCAACTGGCTGCCAAATAAAAACTAACCTATGAATCAGTCTGAAATTTAGTATGGTGTCGTTTGACACATGGCAGTACACGATGGTAATGCCATCTTCCCTCAGCAACGCCACCTGTCTTCAAACACGGGTACTTATTGATCGACCCTCGTATGTATATAAACACTTCCACAAATTATGGGAAAATTATTTTGTGAGATTTGAGTTCTCAAAGGAATTATGGAGCACTATCTTCAAGTATCAGACATTATATAATCTATGTTTATCAACATTTTAGAGGAACATATTTCCCCCATCTTCATGGCTGAAGAGTAAGCTAAGCATGCAGAAAACAAAGCATGAATAGCTATTAAAATTTTTACTCTGTAACTAGCCAAGCGTCATGTCAGAGATGAAGCTTCAAACTTGAAGACTGAAGGTTTAATTATTTGCTGTCTGCTCTTGTTGCTTGCTTGGCTTGCTATTTGTTCCTGAAGATGGAGAAGATAGTTTCTTCCTAAATGTGGATAAATTTCTACTAGACTACATACCATCACATCCCAGAATATACAATAAAATACAGGGTGAATCATACAGAACCGGCCCAATGAATTTGCTAATAATTCCAGTGATGCATATAACTGCTCACAATTACAACATAGTAATCTGTGGGCCGTGCTGAGTCGAATGGTGTGCGCATGATCCAGCAAGTGGCAGTCCTTATGCTGCAAGGTCAAGGACAATCCCGAAACGTGTCTGCAGTGCGCAGGGGACATTCATGGAGTACACTGTTGAACGGCGAGTGTTTCTTGTGCGCACGTACTGGGTCACAGGCTCGGTTGCGAACACACAATTGGAATTCATGAGGAAGTTTGGAGTTCGCAAGAAGCCAGTGAAATTGACTATACAGTCCTTGGCTCAGAAATTGGAAAGGACAGGGACACTTTTAAGTGAACGTGGTAAAATTCGCCCAGAAATGCCAGAAGAAACGATTGCAATTGTGTGGGACAGGTTACTGCAGTCTCCCAAGAAATCATTACGACGTCTAAGCCAGAAAACCGGGTATTCTTATTCAACGTGTCAACGGGCTGCAAAGAAAGCGAATCTTCGTCCCTACAAGATCACCAGTGTTCAGGAATTGGGTGATGTTGATAAAGATAAACGGGTACGGTACTGTTTATGGTTTCGGGAATTCGTGCATGATAACCCTAGAATTTTGGATATCACTTGGTTTAGTGATGAAGCATGGTTCCACCTATCAGGATATGTAAACGCACAAAATTCCGGGATCTGGGTGTCTGAAAACCCACATGAGAATGCTGAATCACCACCACACCCACAAAAAGTGGGTGTGTGGTGCACCATTTCTGGTTTACGAATCATTGGACCGATCTTCTTCGACACGACCATGGACAGCACCTTATACTGCCGTATTTTTTACGATTTCGTGCAGCAGCTGGATGATGTGGAACTTACACAGGGTTATTTTCAGCAGGATTCGGCGATGTGCCACATGTCCAATATGTCCATGGAACTGATTGAGAGCTTCTTTAACGATCGCGTCATCTCTAAAAAGATGTGGCCCCCAAAATCCCCCAACCTTACCAGCCCGGATTTTTTTTCTCTGGGGTTTACTGAAGGACAGGGTGTATGCAAACAAACTGTGTAAGTTACAGGATTTAAAGGACAACATTTCGGCTGAAATCAGGAACATCACTGAAGAAACACTGCAGCGAGTCATGGCGAATATGCAAACGTGGGTGGAGTCATGCCTACTTGAAAACGGCGGACACTTTCAACACCTGCTCTGATCACGGCACACAATCCAAGATAAGATATGTTTAAATTACTTTAATATCTGTATGGTATATTTTATATTACAGCTCATTTCGTCGGGCCGGTTCTATATGAATCACCCTGCAGTTTACTTTACTTTCATGTGCAAGAAGCCTGTGCTAAAAATGACTAGAGAAAGAAACATGAATCACACATGCACAAATACATCACACTACAATTATGACAATATTCTAATCCAAGATGTGAGAACGTTTAGGACTGTGTATGATTTATTTTCATTCTCAGCAAAACTGTTTATATGAGATTACCGAATCTGAATATGTAATTGCTACCATGATTATATAAGCAATATTTACCTTTAACCTTTCCCTAAACTTCTCTTCTATTGCATCTTTATCATCCTTTTCAACCCCCAGTTCCTTTTTGATCACTTTTAGTTGTTCATGAAGAATGTATTTCCTGTGCTGTTGCTTCACTTTCTCCTCTACTTCACGTCCAATTTTTTGCTGCAATTTATTCAACTCAAATTCTTTCTTCAGGAGTGACAAAGATAACAGTAACCTTTTTGGAATCTGAAACAAATCAATAAAGATCTCATGAAATAAGCAAACAGTAAACTGTCACAATACAGTATAACGGGTGTTCTTAATCTCTTTGGCACAGTAACCCCTCAAGCTTAACTGATAAAGCAATATTAGCCCTCCTTCAGATAGGAAGACAATTATGATTAATAATTTTTTTTGTATTCAATTCTATTCTGGTCATCAGTCATCTGTGTAGCTGAGCAGCTGTTTGTTCCCCTTAAATATACCATATTTTGGGCATAGTTACTCCCATGTTAAGAACCACTGCATTATACAGGTGACAGCAAAGAAATAAAAACATTATTAATATAGAATCCTGAAATTATCCAACAGCAGAATATAAACTACTTTATTACTGTCCATCAGTTAGTGGCAGAACTTCGTGCTGCAGGGGTAAGGGATTGCCATATGGGAATCTAGGAGGCTTCTTTTCAGAATCTGTACTAGCTAAGTTAGAAACCCCAAAGTGACATCCCCCACTGTAGCAACTGTCAAATGTGAGGGTGACCTCCATGTATTTGGACTCAAGTTTCAGCAAAAGAAAAACTAGGACAAATTAAAAAAAAACTTGTACATGTCAAAACAAAGAAAACAAACATTTGAAAGCAAAAGAGAGCAACTGTTGGTAACAGACATCAGAATTTTCTTTCGTGTGTTCATAATAAACATTTCTTGGGTTTCTGAACTTCATCCATCATTCAGTATTTTGAGAGAACAAAACATGTTGGAAAATGGATGTTTCCATCATCAGGTGAAAAGGCAGAAAGGCACCTACTCAGCTGGGTCTGTTAAAAAAAAAAGGCTAGTTTTCATCACCTGGATGAAGCTGAGTGACTGTGTAGATTCCACCCAGCTTTTCACCTGAGGGTAAAAACAGATCTAATTTCCAAAACGTTTTGTTCTTTCAGAATACTAGATACTCTAGAAACTCAGTAATTCCCAAATATACTATTGTCTGTCTGGAACTGACAAAATTCCTTGTACAGAAATATTACGCAACACATCTGATGACTATCATTATTCACTGTCTGACTTAGAAATATAAAATTCTTAAAACCAGTGTTTTGGAGACTGGCTCTATTTCCATCTTCAGTCAGGTGAGGTAAAGCTGTCCCTCTGCTTAATTAAGCATCATGCCATGAAGACATACAGGGGAATGGAGGTATATTTCCACCATTACTGATGCTGGCACTAGATCCAGAGCCAGTCTGGATGCTGTGGAGAAAAATATCTCTTGCCCCTCCCAGGAACTGAACACTGATTCCTCTGCGATCCAGCCCACAGCCAGTGGACATAAGTGTATGAGTTAATTACTTCTTTCTGCCAGTGATGTTGGCTGCAACCCTCCAAAGACATAATGACAGTCACTCAAACTGAGCACATGTCCTCTACTGAAATACAAAGAACATGCCCTACATCACTAATAAATTATATGTCCTTTAATAAAAGAGAACAAAAAGAATGATAAATGTTGGTACAAAATCCAACAGGTTGCAAGTTATCATACTGGAGGGCCCCATTATGATCTCCTACAATGTACTGAAGGCAACTTTACTCACCATTCCTCTTCACACAAAATTACCATCACCTCAGTTACAACAGCATCATTTTCTTCTTGTCAGATAGCACACAGAAGCCTATTCAATAGAGTCCATTAGACAACAACCATTCATATTAAGTGGGAACAGACACTGTCAAAAGGACCAAGATATATAAGAAGGAATCAGAAAGGATGAAGACACCCTGTAACGCCCTTTAGCTATCCATAAATTCGGTACACTGTATACTAGGCTGACTGGTGGGAAGTACAGGAGAAGAAGCCTCAAGTGCTAAAATTCTCCTTGGTATAGTTAGATGATCCACTCACATCCATCTCCTGAAGTACTTGCTGCAATTCAACTGGTTCAGCTCCGGTGAGGGCAGCACCCAAGTCCGACAAATAGACTGGATTGTCAGCTACCCGTTGCCCAGAATGCAACATCTGTTGTAATGATTCACGGTACAATGGATTCATGTTAATGATGTCACGAATTGTCTTTAGCACTTCCTGTGTCAGAGCCTGCACATATAAAAAATAATCATCACTTCTCAACCACATTTCAAAACCACATTCTCTTAAACTTTTTTTTAATACATGCCTTCCTTTCCAAAATAAAAGCATGCATGGCTACTGAAATGTTCAATATGTTATACCTGCAACATTTTTTTGAGCAACACTCAGGCTGCATCATGTTCATATTCCATGGAATTGCTGCTATACCTAATTTCTGGGCAATGAGTGCAAAAGTTCAAATTACTGTAATAAAATTGGTACGTGAATTGTGATATAGTTGAAACTATTACTGCATATGTTGAGAAACAGAGAGGCATGACAATAAGAGGAAAATGCTACATCAGACATATATTTAATTATAAAATAAAGACACTTTTAAATTTTGTTAGTATCATTATATTGTAATTAATTTCTCATATTGGTAACAGCAATAACACATTTTTAGTGGTGTCTGAAATCCTGCAGAACATCAATTAAAATTACTCCATCTGCATACACAAACTAACTCGCAAACCATTTTTCATGAAATTTGATATTGGAATGGTTTACAAAAAATTAGTCTATGAATATCAGTGTTGGTTAACATTGAGAAAAGTAACACACACTTCACATGAAGAGCTGTATACACAAAGTTCTATCTCCTGAGATACATCGTTATGTAGTCTGTTGAAAGTCAGCCGAAGTTTTGGAGGAACCTGCTTCATGCTTGTTTCTTGCTTGGCTTCCTCCTCAGCCCTGAAGATAGAGGTCACACATTCCTCCAAAATGTCAGTTGACCTTCAATTGACTACACACCAGTACATTCTGCACAACAAAATTCTTCACCACCACCGGTGTGACAACCTCAAATCCTGCATATACACCTTCCTGCCTGCAACTCATTAATATTTATGTGAGTGAAAATAGTTTCAGACTAAAGTTCTATAGAAAATGAAACAGATTCATTATGACTACTGTATTTTTCCTACATATGTTATACTTTTTTAATAACTGAGCAAAAGGGATGCTATGCGTGAATTTCCAAATTTGTATAAAGTGAGACCCTGATTCAAAAGTCTGTCTAGAGGACAAGCTTTTTGTACCGCAAAGAGCAGTTTTGGAAAACAGACCCTAAAATGACTGTTAAAACTTAGTTAAATCATCAACAAGGAACCGAACCTTGCTGATTTAATAAAATAAGTTATTTTTTATTCTCCAGAATGTTTCATTTTGTAACACAGTAAGATTCTTTTCAACCTCCTGAATAATTTTCAGTTTCTTATTTATTGTTAATTTTTTATTCACCACACCATGGACATTCGTTACTTCAAAATCAGTCCCCTGAAGAAACTACAACCCTTGAAAAAAACACAAAAACAATAGTCATGACTTCCTACTGACAGAGAAAATGTAGGCACACAGCCACATTACATTTTGCATAACAAGTAAATGATGACTATGAACTATGCATGTGTGGCCCACACGAATTGAAAACAAGAAAAAATCCCTTCTATGCTGAAAAGAGTACCTAAGCATGTACAGGAATCAAAGTTTCCTACATAAATGCATGTAAATCTTTAAATGACGAACATTAAACTGAGCAAAATAATACATTAGGCATAAGGACCTTCAGGTGGCACCACAATGCAGGAAAACATATAATCCCTTAAATCAGGATTTCACTGCATTCCACAATGAGCAATAGTGTCCTCAACACATGAAGATTACAAAGTCTTTTGTCCTCAGTAATAATTACACAATGCTTCCTTCCACTTGAATTATATGTCTACACATACACAAATATATTGTAATGTGTTTTGCTACTGAAGACACCGTTCAGTTTGTTAATTGGTTTATTTAACAACGAACAAATCGTAACTACAGATACTTATAACACTGTTATGGGTTTACAAACCTTACAACCCTACACAATAACCTTTTCAGTAGTCTTCACGTATTTATAATGCGGGAGCTATACAAGTCTCTCTTAATTACACACTCCCGATATAACTGTACTACAGCACACAATCTTGAAGTCACACAATCATTCTTCACTGACTTACTTCTCCGTTATCGTGCACTATCACAGATTATCACATCAAATCTTCCAACCATGCATTCGGGTCTTCTTTCCGCGACTGCTGCTATATTCCAACTGTCTTTGGTGGCTGCCACATTTTAACTGTCTTCTTAGGCAGCGCAGTTCTCTTATAAACCCTCAGCCAGACAATGGAAAATGCCTCACTTCCTTGTTGCCTAGTCGCCTGTTACATCACAGTGGGAAGTGCTGCCACGTCACCGCAGGGGAGGGAGCGGAGTGTTGACTGGCCTGTTACCGTAGCAGCGACAGCGCTCGATGTTGTTACGTCACTGCTGGCAGGGGAGAGGATGTTCTCCATAGCGCAATATGTCACAATATATAATTAAAACACAATTTTACATAAGGGAATAAATACTTTTATGAGCTTATATGAATAAATATTTAAAATATATGAGCTTTCTGGAGAAAATAACTCAGCAAGGATGCTAACAATTCATTAACAATTTCTCCTGCTAAACTCATCTCTTAAGTACACACAGTGTTTTTGTTGATGACTTACATGGAAGAGAGTAGTAGTAAACACATAATTCATACTGTCATGTGTTCAGGGTTCTGTGACTAATAATAACGGGTTCTGGATTTATTGACACTTATACATCTACACACTTCAGGACTACAGGCAATTATAGTGCCATGGCTGTTCTACATACTTTCAGTTCACCATTGCACACATACACTAGGATTCTCAGTCTTCACTGGTCGTATCCTGGCAATGGATTTATCACAGTCTCACTGTCACTTCAACTCACATATGACATCTTCTTGGCAATCTAATTCATTTCTTGCCATTTCCTGTAGCTGCCAATTTCGAAGACTTGACCCAAATCTCTTCCAACTACTGTTCTGAACTCCCAATACCAATTCTCTAATCTAATCTCCCTAGCTACAGACTTTCGTTAGACTCGGATCGGACCCCATAGAGAACACTGTCTTCTCTTGTCGAGTACTGTTGTGTTACCTAGCAACGCACTGTAGCATGGTCCACAGAGAACACAGCTCCTATTGTTGCATGTTCGCTGGAACATGTATACTGAGTCGTTGCCTAGCAATGGGTCAATACGTCACAATATGAAGGCAGTATCTGATTCTACTTTTGATCAGGGATGAGCTATACCGGATTTTCCTGGCTTCTCTCAATTTATCAAGGAAAATTCCAAGATTTATACCATAATGTTGGAAATGTCTGCTAGCACCTTGACCTCTCCCAACCCACGTTTCCCATTCATCATGCCATCCTGAATATCCATTGCAGACCATAAAGTAATTCAGCAGGAAAGGAAACAAACAACCTAATTAGAATAATCTATTCTGACAATTATAATAGCTGGATTTGAGGTTCTCATGGTGGCTATGATGAGTAGTTTTCTTGACTGTAGTGCTGTTACTTAGTTCATAGTCAGTTTGATGCTTCCGACGAACATATTTCCTCAATCTTCAAGGTAGCATAGTAGGGCAAGCAAAAAAATAAGCAGTGCTGAGCTTGGTGCCTGCTTCCCTTAAGTAGCATCAGAGTTTGTCTGACTATATGGTGTTACAACCCAAAAGACCAGACTCTTCAACTATAATACTGTTACAACTTCATAAAAAGCTGTGTAGAGATGCAAAGGTCTAAATTAGCAACATGAACAGACACTCCTCCCTTCTCAACCCTCCAAAGATATCTCCAAGTTTCCTCAGTTCTTAGATTCCATATGGGAGGAGCAGCTAGTCATTTCCAAATTGGGGGGGGGGGATTATGCATGCAAAATTAAATTAAAATAGCAAACTGCACACACATTCAGTGCCCAGCATAAGGCTGAGTATTGTAATGATGTGGCTGTTTGCATGAGAAACATCCCAATAGCAGAAATGAAATAAAATATCATCTATTTGAGAACCTGTTACTTAAATACTGATTCTGCCTACATGACATTTGTCAGACAAGCCCTCAAACTTCTGCATCTCCAGTAACATTTGTTACTGCTGACTTCAACACAATATTATGTAAAGAATTTGTATGTAATATATTTATTCATTTGTCTTATGTCCAACGGTCATTAGTTATCACTATCTGCAATCAACCCAACCAACACACAAAAAAATTGTGGTGGTGGTGGTAGTAGTAGTAGTAGTAGTAGAAGAATAGTTGTGGTGGTGGAGGTAAGAGAAAGAGGAGGAGGAATGGACAGAAAGAAAAGAGAAAGACATAAAGGAAGAAAGGACATAAATGAGGAAACAAATGTACAATTTGTAACTGTCATTTTAATTTTACCTTAACTTCTTCTGTTTGCCTAAATTTCTCATGTGTGACATTCTCGACTTCTACCATGAGCACAGGCAGTGGTTTCAGAATATCCTCTGGTGATGTTTCTTGAGAACCATTAGCAGCATCTGATTTCTCCTCCTCATCATTACTTGATGATTCCACTGCAATCTTCTTCTTTCTGCGTTTTCGTCTCCTCTTCTCTACATCTGTATCTTCTAGAGACACATTAATGGATGTGTTAAATATTGGAAACTTGATAGTCATTTCTGCAGCAGAAAGCAGTTATGGAGACATGTTGTTTCATTCAGTATTATATTTAACAGTAATAGAGAGAATTTAGGAATAGGCCATGGAACTCAATTCTCACCTCCTTCAATTTCCATAGGTCTAACAGTAACATATATACAACTGGAAAAATAATTTTCATGCACAGCTGACATGATCATCCATACATATCCATATTTCTAGATTAACTGGAGAGGATTAATGATGGGGAGGCTGAGTATAAGCGACGAGTTTAGAGTAATGCAAGTTCCCAGTAATTACAAAAATGTATAATTCCTCAACGGCATAGTTTTTTATGTTACTTTCCATTACAGTTATATATGCTACTTTTAAATTATGTAACTGAAGACATAAAGAAAGGTCTCTTACAACTCTCACCAGTTCACTATTGTGAGCATAGAGACGAATGACTTAAAAGAAAGTATGGTGGGAAATATATTTCACTGCATTCCTGTAGTGTAAGTAAATTTTTAGTGTATTCCTATTGTTAAAAGTTAAATTTCATGTCTCTGAGTATTTGACACACTGACAGAATTTGAAAGTCAATAAAGATACAAATTCCTGATAAATTCTAAATATGAAATTTCAAGTTTCAGTTGCAGGTATGCCTGTGATGTAATAAAAAGTAGATGTGGCACTTTCTATGAAAAGTTTACACCAATTAGAAAGATCTGTATAAATTCTGTAATTGTTAGTAACCATGAAATTCTTTCAGGATTCTGCAATATAGAAAGCTTACAAAACTTAAAATCACAGATCATTATAAAACAATTACTGTCTTCTTGGATGAAACACTGTCTAGTCTGGTAGACTGTCGATGTTTCAGAGGAAAAATGTGCTTCTATTTTCAGGGTACATTCCCCCCAAATCCCAGGAATGATCTACCAGATGTTACAGCATCAAGTACCTGAGTCACTGCAGTAAGAACCTCAATCTTGCATTTTACAACACTCAACTGTGACCAAGTTAAAATATACAGGCTCATCCCTAAAAATGTGGAACATTCTCTAGGTGTTTCAAATTATGTCACAATTATTACTTGTTCAAATTTCGACATAACATTTTGTCTGAAGGCAAATAAGACAACCTGCTTTGACACTGCAGAATTTATGTGAAATTACTTGAAACTATGAATTTTATTTAATGGTGTTCTCAACAGCTAAAGATATGTAGCATCAAATGATTGTACTGGTGAATAATAATTTGGGAAAGATGTGGAATGGACTGCTAGAAGCCTAATTTTAGATTCTATCCCATCAATTGCCTCGATGAATTGAGCAAAACCGCAGAAATATCAGTAACACCTATGTGCTTCTACTGACTGATGAAATTTAGACCTATTTTCCTTTCCTTTTCTTACAGCTGCTTTTCTAATTTGTATTGGCAATTTTCTCTCCTTTACTTCCATTTATATTTGACATTATCAGAACATATACTCTGTTAAGAACTTGTTCTGGTGGTTAGTGATCAAGACTAGCTTTCACTAATGGGTCCACTGGGCAAGAACCTTTCCTCTGCTACACATAATAATAGAAACACATGCAGTTTCCAGAATGTTGTGTTTGGAAAAACTTAAGAACACAGACAATGTGTAAAAAAATTGCAATGTTTATTGTTACACACCACCATCAGTTTTAACTTACTGTCTTTATCTGTTAAGATGGTTCCTAAAAGAAAGAGGACTTACAAAGTTGTGTCTCTCTCTCCCCATGTTCAAATTCTACAAACCCAAATCCAAATTCCTTTCAAACATCATTTTGCCCAGTTATTCATGATAACTGAGCCTAACTCATGTTCCTGAAGATTCCCTTAATGCTGTTCCTTATAAATCAATTCCTGCATCAATACCAACATAGCAAACACATGGCATGCTTATTATATGAGAAATCATGAATCATACTCAGGATCTGAGGTTCTCATAGCAGTCGTTATGAAGAGTGCAGTCTCTCCTGGGATACAGTGCTGTGCAGTCTGTTGCAAGTCAGGTCGACAGGTTCACTTTCAACAGACTAGATGGCATTAAATTCCAGAAGACAGTACCCTTCATGATTCACAGTTACTAAAAATATAAAATTTGGCTTAAGAAATTTCATGTGAACTCCTATGTTGTATGTTCAACAACAGCAAATATCAGTAAGGTCATGCCATAGCTCAAGCGGTTAGTCGCTGGCTTCCCACAGCGGCGGCCCGGGTTTGGTAAGGTGGGATTTGTGGTGGACAAATTAGTGCTGGGGTGAGTTTTCTCTGAATACTTCGGTTTCCCCTGCCAATCTTCATTCCACCAGATTCTCCATCATCATAATCAACTGGGTCAGGCTACAATAGGCCAGTCAGTGGCCTCCGTGCCTAGCGGACCCAGTTGGATTCCACCCCCCACTAAGCAAATTAAAAAAAAAATCAGTAAGAATATGAGACTGACTTGAGTGCCTAAACATTGTTAAGAAGTTGCCATGGGAAGTTTCTTTAACATCACAATTGCTATAACCATACAGTCTATTCAGCAACAAAGGTTTCAGCACTCACCATTGGCAGAGTGAAAGAGACTGGTGCAAATACATGTTTGGATTCAGCATAAATGTATTACATTCTAATATATAAAAATGCCTCCTTTTACATGTAAGAGGCACAAAGCTAATTAAAGAATGCATAATTTTTGTTCCCTAATCTCAACTTTTAAATGTCCATATGTGGTTTTTGTTAACCATCTAAGAAACTTATGTTTTGCCTGTGGAGCCCTAACAAGAGCTATGGAAACTTTTATGGCCAAATACTGTTTTACACATGAGATATGAGGTTGTCACTGCAGCAAAGATTGATATAATAGTTTTCTGGATTATGACACCGTGTAGTCTAACAGAACAGTACAACGTTTCAGAGGAACACAACATCCCTGTGCTCAGAACTAACTCCTTGGAGCTGAGTCCTTCTTGAGGAGCCATCGGTTGCTTAGTTACTTACAAATTCCCCAATATTTTATGGAACCCAAAGGTACATTATCATCTTTATGAGAGCCTGCCACTGGTTTCAATCCTGAGCCAGATCAATCCGGTCCATGCTACCCCATCCAATTTCTCTAAGGGCCATTTTCATATTATCCTTCCACATCTTCCTGATGGTCTATTTCCTTCTGGCTTTCCCAACAAAACCCTATACACATTTCTCTTCTTCCACATGTGTGCACTACATCCACTGCAATCTCATTCTGCTTGATTCAATCATTCTAATTACAAATGGCAACAAATGCAAGTTGGGGGCACACGGTAGCGTAGTTGGTTGAGACACTGTGCTACAAGTCAGAAAGTATGGGGTTCGATTCCTGATAAGGTCAATGGATTTTTTTTTTTTTTTCAAATTTACCTAATCCTTCAAACTGCCCTGGGGTCAACTCAGCCTCTAACAGAAATCACTACCAGGAATATTCCTGGGGGGTAAAGGGTAGCCAGTGTGTAAGGCTGATGTTATCGTCATCTGTGAGTCGCGTGTCTAGAAGATTTGGGAACTTCAACTTCTCACAACCTTATGGGCCTTCATGGCCTGTCACAGGGATGGCTTTGCCTTTTACCTTTTATGAGTACAAATTATGAATTAGAGCACTTCTTTCTTCCCCTCTCATAGCAGAAAAGAACTAAGTTGGGAAAGAAACAGGTTAAGTAGGAGGGGTGGAGAAGGGGAAACAATTCATGGAGGACAGGAGTGACCAGAGCCTAAGATAAAGAAGCAGAGACAGAGCCCCAGGTGTGGGAATGGGAACAAAAAGTTTCCTATCCTGGAATTGTTGCACTTTTCTAAGTCTACAGTTCACAATAACCTGTCCAGGGCCTTGTGTCTTCTTACTCATCTCTGGCTCCGATTCGCTAACCCTATCTTCCTTGTTCTGTTTTCTGCCAAATTCTCATGTATGAATGGCCACTTTCTGAAATTTGCTCACTTTTACCCTAAAGACCAAGGCACTGAGAGACTACATGGTGTCATAATTCAGAAGACTGTAACATGAATACCATTTAATAATCTGTTTTTTTTTTCTAAACATTATGCACAAATAAAAAAGTTACAATATTTAAAAGATGATTTCATGAAATACAGATGAATGAAAAATCTATCCCTGTGACAGTTAATGAACCCTAAATTTTATATTAGTTATGATCAGTTATAGGGGTTGGACAAAATAACGGAAACACCAGAAACTGAGGAATAGAATTTGTTTGTGTTTGTGTTGTTTACACTGAAAGAACTTTCTGTTTTCAACACTGAATGTTCTTCCATTTGTTTACACTCTGTAGTGCTCATGTCAGTGCATTAGTGACTATGTTGAGTGACAGTCTGTGTGAAAGAATTGGAAAATAAGAGACTTGTCCAGTTTTGAAAAAGGACAGATCATTGGTGCACATTTAGCTGGAGCATCTGTGACAAAAACAGCCACATTATTAGATGTACCAAGAGTGACGGTTTCTAAGGTTATGTCTGCTTACACGAATCATTGGAAGACAACATTAGCAAAGAGGAACGGTTGGTGAAAATCTACAATGCCAGAAAGAGAACGTCGTAGATTGTGTAGGATTATTTAAAAAAAAATTACAGAACTACTGCATCACAGGTGACTGCAGAACTGAATATTCACTTTGAAGACCATTTCTACAAAAACTGTCTGATGTGAGCATCTCAAATCCAACATCCATGGTAGGGCTGCAACTACTAAACCTCTGATTACTGAAAATAAAGCTCAGATGCATAAACAACTGTGTCATCACCATAAAACATCGACATCAGATAACTGGAAATGAATGCATGATATGTTCACATGAGTCATCCTTTATGCTGTTCCCTACGTCAGGAAGAGTTTACATTTGGAGAACATCCAACGAAGCCTACAATCTGGAATGCCTGGTTCCAACAGTGAAACAAGGGGGAAGTTCTGTGATGGTCTGAGCAGCAATATCGTGGCACAGCATTCTGTTGGTCCCATTACTTCCCTTCATGGCTGAATTACTGCAAGGGAGTAGGTGGACACAGTGAGTAACCTGGTGCATACCACAACCGAAACATTATTTCTGAATGATGCAGTTTCCCAAGATGCCAATGCCCCCATTCACATAGCTGGAAATGTTCAGTCACGGTTCAAGGAGCAGGAAGGTGAACTTCAACATCTTACCTGGCCAGCACAATCACCAGATTTGAACATCACTGGACCATTATGGTAAATGTTGGAGACTAGAGTGAGGAACAGATTCCCACCTTCAACATCTCTAAAGCAACTCGAAGACATTCTTCAAGAAGAATGGTATAAAATTTCACTAGACTGTTCAAAACTTGGAGTTCATTCTAAGGACTGCAGCTGTACTGAAGGCAAAAGGTGGTCCAACACCAGATTAATAAACAAATCTGTACAGTATCTGTAGTGTTTCCGTTATTTTACCCAACCCCTTATTTCATGATGGCTTGAAAGCTTTCCCTTTGAAGTTCATCTCAACCAGTGAACATGATACTGGAAAGTAATGTCTGGATGCCATATTTTGTTACATTACATAATTATATACGCTTACCTGGAGGGGCTTCTGAATCATCTACTATCTGTCCTAAGAGCCGAATCCTTCTATGGGCCATAACAACAAGACGCAGGCGATCTCCAAGATCTTGTATCTCATGTATTTGGGCAAATGTTCCAATAGGGTACACCTCTGATAAGTTATTGACAACATCAGATTCATTTCTGAAGAAAAATTTAAAGAAAAATATAACTATGGGCGAAATATGCAGAGTTATCAACACCACTAGCAAATAAGTATTGTAATAATATAGGACCAGAGATACATGAACTCTGTGGCCTGTAGTCTGCAAGTGAACTATACCGACCAAACGACCGCCGCTTGTCGGTGAAGTTGGCTAATTGTTGATCCGGATTTATGTGCTTGATGAAGGACAAGCAATACACAAACGGTAGGCTTGCAAGGAAGCAGCAGCTTGAAATACCTGAACAGAGGCTGGAGGATAACAATGACATAATGGTTGGAAGCTGGAATAGTTTAACAGACACATGTGGTAATTGTTAGACAATGCTGCAGTGTGCACTTCTGCAGCAACAAACAAACAAACAAACACACAACAGAGAAATTCTTGTAAGCGGTGTTTTCTATTCTGTCTGTGCCGAGGTTACATAATGAGGACACCAGTCGAGGTAAATCACGATTGTCCTCAGAATATTGCAACACGGTCTGAAGTCAATTGAGACATGGTGCAAGTGCTGGAAAATTAAAATGAATGAAGATAAAACTTGGGCTATCTACGTCTCTCATAGGCGCAGACCACCTGAGATTCATCTCATACCGAATCCACGTTGCCTGGACCAGCTCTGGGGCCCACTGAGCCTCCTATCCAATGTGTACCAGGGGCTCTTTCCTTGAGGGTAAAGCAGCCAGGGAGTAAAAACTGTACACTCACTAGCAACTAATGCTGAGGCCAAGAAAAAGTGGATCTGTAAACCCCAACCCCCATATGTCTTCGTGGAGTAGTGCTTAATCGGTTAATCATGGGATAACCTTACATCTTTTTTTATTCTTTTTAGTAATTCCAGGCATCACAACAGCCAAGACTGCTACAGTGGTACAGAAGTTTGCAGGAAACAGTTTGAATCCTCCTTTCTATTTTAATAGCATGGGGAAGCTTCAATGGCTTGTGATCTTTGTGCTTACACAGTATATTAAAAAAAAAAACTACAATCAGGCTTCAATTTCTTCTGGTTTCTAAGCTTAAATACTGTGTGACAAAATACATTTCTCTGTAGAAGAGATTCAGTCACCATTTTATCATCTTTAGTATATGAAACAGTTCACAGCTGTAAAATGCATACAAATTTAATAAAGGTAAACCTGTCCTTGTTCTTAACTAATCAAGCAGTGCGCCATGAAGATGTATGGGGGAGTGGATGTACAGACCCATGTTTTATTGATCTCAGCACTAGTTGGAGTGGTCAGCTTCACACCCCAGCAGTTATAACCTCTGGTACCAATGGGATAGGAGGCTGGGTGGGCCCCACAGCTGATCTGGAAACATGGAGAAGCGAAAACTTGTGCCCCCACACAGACTTGAACTCTGATGCCCTAGTTGTCCAGCCTGTAGCCTGTCACTATGCTGACTGCACTATCCTGGTTCTCACATGAAATTTAATAGACACTCTAAACATTCGTCTGTAGATAAGTTTCAAAATTGTGATTTAAGTTCAAGAGTGTGAAGCCATGTTTCTTGTTGCTCATTTCCATCATTATATATCACCACTTGCTTGGCACCCTTCCTCCTAAAAAAATATGGGGTGCTACTTTTTACCCCATTTGTTCCCATCTGAAGGGAAAGTAGTTGGGCCAAGGGCTATAGATTTTACAAAAATATGTGATAAAATATTCATTGCAGTCCCAATGCCAAAGAAAGGGAACTGTTTTGCTTTGCATTAACAATGATTACAGTAAATGCATATTATTCTCATTTTAAATGTCAGCTACCACACAATGTGATCTGACAAGGATAGTGACCAAATCCAGAGTGATGTTACTGAAATATAAAAAAATGGTTTAAAAATAATATGAATGTAAATTCAGATTTAAATACCTCATAACAGGAATACAAAATTTGGTTAATCAGGAAATCCTTGCCATTATTCGACTCAACCAACATATTCCAAAAAAAATAAAAAATTGAAAACAAAAATGAAAATATTTTAAAAGAAACTTCTAGGGAAATAAATGAACCACTGAATGACATTTAAAATTAAAAAAAATTTCCTCTCTGAATGTATTCTAACTTTGCCATAATGAGGACATCTGAAAGCTACAACCCAAGAACTATGGTGATAATATGCTCAAGCCAGATGAGCTGAGGGATGACAGGCAGGCTGTATGGCCTGGTCCTCCAGGTTGGAGGATGGTATTGGGCAGGTAACTCATCATCAAAAATTTATGTAATCCGAACATCAGCACAGTATTAAAATAAAGTGGACCCAAAAGAGAGAGACCCAATATACAGTAAGTGGAAAATACATATTATGTACATCATGGAAGATCCAAGTTTAGAAAGTAGGAAACTGACAGTGGTAAACCCATGATAGGATACAGCCAATATCAGACAAAGTAGAACCCTTTACAGTGAAATGAGTAATTACCTCAAAATAGGTATAAAAGAAATGCCTACAAAATTTTGGTATGCAAGATAAAGTAGAAACTAAGGTAAAGCTGTCCCTGTGCTTAACTAATTAGGCACTGTGCCACAAAGGGGGAGTGGAGGTATAGAGCCACATTTTTTGAAATTGGCATTAGTTGGAGGTGAGTGGTCAGCTTCATTCCACGGCCGCTTTACCCCTGGGAAAGGCGACCCAAGTGCTCATTGGAAAAGGGGCTGGGAAACCGGAGGGCCGGTCTGGACGATGTGGAGAAGAGAAAATTTTTGACCCTAGCAGGACACAAACTCTGACCCCTTGGTTGTCCAGCCCATAACCAGTTGCTATACCGACTATGCTATTCTCACTTTCGGTGTGCAAGAAAATGGTAAAGTTGTCTCTGTATGTAATTAATTAGGCCACCCATATTAGAATTCACTGGGAAGTGAAGGTATAGTTTCACCATTCTTGACCTTGGTGCCAGATGGAGGTTAGTGGTCAGCTTCACATTCTGTCTGCTTTATCCCAGAAGAAAAGCTGCTGGCACCATTGGATATGAGGCTGGGTGGGCCCCAAAGTCAGTCTAGATGGTGTGGAGTAGAGGAAAATCTCTTACTCCTGTTGGGAATTGAATCCTGACCATCCAGCCCACGGCCTGTTGCTGTACTGACTGAGCTATCCTGTTCCAGAATTTTGGTAGGGAAACATGAAAAATGATCTTTCGGAAGAGAGAGACAAGCTGACAGGACAACAGTACAATTTAACACAATGTGAAAACTTGAACTAAACTGGTTCAGGATATGACTGAAATGTGATCTTCTGTTAGTACACCTAAACCTACCACATAAAACAGGATAACTTAAATTTCTAACACATGATATGCTAATGGACGAAACTGTTTTTCATGGCATACTGCTCCCTCAAACGAATAATGGACTCTTTTTTGAAAGGTATACACAGTTTGAACACAATTTAAATTGGTCTGCAACCATCAATTTTTAGCACTCTGGTCAGATCCTTAGAGGGGAAAACTGAAAAACTAAACATTAATACTATGCTGATATATTGGTTTTTTGGACTTTATCCATCATCCTGGTTTATCGTGTTTTTATTAGTTATCTTAAAAACCAGGACGATGGATAAAGTCCAAAAAACCAATATATCAGTGTGTTATACACCATCGTCAGAATCCTATAGTAACTAATCAATACTATAACTGGTAAAATAAGTTTCAGATAATTACAGTTCACTGTTTCAGAGATATGCAAATAAAAACTTAGTCTATAAACAACTGATACAGCCCATTAACTTCAATAAACAAAAATTATACTTCCAACAAAAAAGACTACAAACAACTGAAATGAAGTACAATAGTTAGTTAGATTTCAGAACCTGTGTTCCACAGTAAATAAAACAGAAACACATACTCTTCACTTGTTTTAAGGAAAACTCCTACATATGGTTGATTCAGCTTCACTTTCCTTCTTATAAGGTCAATCAATGCCGGATTTGTTATCTGAAAAAGAAGATAAAAACAGCAGTTCATGCAAATTTCCAGAGTGACTTAAAAATGCAACACAAATCATTCCTTAACATTTCAACTTACTTCAATTAACTTTATAAAGCGTGGAAAGACAGGGTTTCTGTTGACTGCTATAAGAGGTAAATGTGGCCATACTTCGGGAACTATAACTGTTGCTGGAAGAGACTGATGTGCAGAATATTCATTATCAGAAGCTTCTAGACCTGCACCCTGGCCGGGCTGCCTCCCCTCATCACCTGGTCCTTCAGTGTTTCCTGATCGGTTAGTGCTAAAATATCGCCCAGACGTTGTTGTGATATATTCTGACCTTGGCCCTGCATACACTGGAATACATCTGTATGCCTCTGTTGTACTTAATATTCCAATGCATCTTCGTCTTTCATTTTTAATTGAAATTCTGCTTACGGCTCTGGAGGCATACGAAACTCCTCGCCAAACATCATACGAATATAACCACTTTGAGCAGCCAGAACGACAACATAAACCTGACAACATAATCGCTTATAAAAACTTGTCTTGATCTTCACAGAAATTAAATAAATCTACCATACACTTTTCTGCATGTTCCAATACGTTACATCATTCATATCAACAACTTGCCGCCATCATGATATGATCCTCCTGGATACAATTGGCAAGCATGGTGGGCAGCCAACGTCTATAGTCCTCCCATCTATTCCCAGTTCTTATAGAACTCACAAAAGAAGCCACATCAGCTCAGTTGGTAAAGGTGCTTACCAATATCACTCCCCCCCTTTTTTTTGTCAAAAGGACAATTTTTTTAATCAAGCCTCCATACATTGCAGTGTACTCTGCACACAAGACAACACAATTCGCAAACTCTCTCTCTCTCTCTCTCTGATACATTTGAGTGTATATTTATTTACACAAGTCAGACATCCAGTTCTTTACTGATTTGCAAAAATTATTCCTGTTATTTCATACTAATTTGGTGTCAGCTGATAAAGATAATAAACACAAGCAAACAAACCAATTCAGACAACGTAATTTGAACTAAACACGTACAACTAAATTATGAAGCTGCAGACATTGTTTCTTTACAACTGTCTTGCAAATAAAAACATTATTCATATATGTGAAACTACTGTATTCTCTGGATTGTCATATCAATAATTACTTGAACTGTTGTTTAAAAAAACATATGTAAACAATCATAAAAATCACATGAAGGCATGGCTTACCTCAGGTTTGCCAATTTTTATGGAAAATTATGTTGATTTGTTAATCTTACCAGTTTTCATTCCAATGGAATCTTCATCATTCAGAATATACACATCATTTTATACTTTGATCATGTTAGCATTCTGCCTTAAAATTTTAAGTAAGAGGTAATTCTCTTAGATGATACATTTTAATGCTTTCAATACACATGCAAAACATAAGATAACATCTCCAATATCTGATTCCACACTGCACCCTCTAATTTTCTGATCTCATAAATGCATAGGTTCAGGAAGAGATCAGGCAGTCATCAAACTTTACTACCAAATATTTTCGAGTCTGTATTAAAAAACTTCTCGACTAAAAATCCTGAGATGGACATGAAGGAATGTCATGCGCAGAAAAAATTTAATTAACATTGGCCTAGAAACTTATAGTCAACTTCCTGCAACTGTGCCAAAGTATGTAATCTGCTAAGCAAGCTTCTGAGGAATAATTTTTTCTTTGTATTTATGTTTTTAAAGTAAGTTCTGTAGTTCACTGCTGAAAGACTTGCAATTGGCAACTAATTAATTTAAACTGTAGAATGATAAAAGTAATTATATTTCACCTGTATGCAAGAGTAAAAAATATACTGACAAACCCACATGACATTCCTAAATTCTGCTCTGTCATGCTGAACCCAATGTAGTGGGAGAACCATGTTTAAAACATGAATATATGGTAATTATCAAAGTGATATTTGGGATAAAAACTATAGAGCCATAGCAAGACTGTATGTACAATTCCTGAATGTTTGAAACTTGATAACAAGATGTAAATGCACTAATGACAACAGACTCAGGTAACCTGAATCCAATGGTGAAATTAAGGACATTCATTAAGGATGCTGTGCCATGAGTAACAGCAGCTGCTTCAAGTCAACAGTATACTCACACACACAATGGCAAGGAGACATTATATATACACTTATGTTTGTAAATATATGAACTTCATTCACACCTGCCACATGGAATGCTCCTCGTACTATGCATTTGGATGCACTGCAATTTCAATTACATGGCTCTACATGTAGACGATCAGTTCTGAGACTTCTTTAGTATCGGCACAATAAATTTTATCTTTTTTCCAATAACATGTAAGAAATTATATGCCATTTTTGACTAAATTCAGTATACTGATAACAAAAATAATACCAAAAAGATCTAATTGGAACAGTTGCCATCATATTTGTTATATGCAATTTGAAAGAGCAATGTTATGAGGGCCCTGAACATACTAATAGGTACGAAGAATGGTGACTGAATCTGTGATCCTCAAAGAGGCTGTCATGCAAGAATACAATGATGCGAGAAACAATGGCTCTGAGCGCATCAACAGAAGGTATAGGGAAGTCACAAAAGCTGGAATTCAGGACACTGTGGCTTTAAAGGGTGCTTTTAAACAGCAGAGGATGGGAGAAAAGACAAAACACAACAGAAGTGATGACAGAGCAGAGGAAAAAAGAAATAAGCGAGGATAAACTGAATAACAGAGGCTGATGTCTGAGTATGTCCCACCTCTCTTCCATCAGAATGTAGGAACAAAATGAAAAATATTTTTAGGAAAATAAAATGCTCTTTTCAATGGGGAGAAGGAACTTAATTCACAAAGGTCTAACAGATGGAAAGAAATATTACAAATAAAAAAAAATGATAAAAGATTAGAAGTGAAGTCAGGGCAGTGTGACAATGTAATGTTTATATTTTAATCACATAGGCACATAACCTTTAGTGTGAGAACCTTGTTTAGTTTATAGGTATAGGAGGTACATCTTGGGAAACTTGAGAATCCTACACATTTTATGACTGGCTATGTGAATAAGTCGACTGCCTCAGTGGTCTAGTGGTCAGAGTTCCTGGCTACATATCCAGAGGTCCGGGTTCAATTCCCGGCGCGATAAGATTTCCTGAGAAGTACTGGGTCTGGAATGGGGTCCACTCAGCCTCGTGAGGATAATTGAGGAGCTATTTCAAAGAAATAGAAGCTCTGGTCTAGAAAACCGAAATTAACGGCCGTGTGGATTCGTTGCGCTGACCATGTGACACACTCTATACGCTAAATTTGGCACTAACTTCGCCAACAACTGGTGATCGCTCGGTATAGTTTGCTTGTGGACTAAAACCACGGAGTTTGTTTTTTATGTGAATAAGCAAGCAGAATTAAATGAATGATGTAGGTAACTATAGTAGAATGAAATCAACCAACTGCTGTATAGAAGAATTGTGATTATAACCTTCATGGAATAATGTATGACCCCATTAACCCTTCCACATTGTTATGTAACAAAGACAGATCTATCAATTTCTGTGTCATTATACAACCACATCCAGCACTTGTAAAATTAAGTATCAGATTTCTCTAATCAGTGATTCATTCCAGAAGTCACACCACACAATATTATGCTGCTTTATGCAGTTCAGTGTCCTGTGGACAAGAGACATAGGTGATTAAAAAATCATGTAACACATGTGGTCAGTAGCAAACTGTTGCTGCAGGGAGCGAAAGAGACTGAGATATCTATTACCAGCCTCATATAAACATGTGCATTACACATTACCAGTCACTGCTCATAACAAATTGTTTTTAAGTTTTAATTTTTAATGGTAAACTTGCAATCTCAATCTCAACAAAATTAATATTCACAAGAACTTCACATAGAGTATGATTGTACATCATTACATTATCTATTTCACTTCATATGTTACATTAAGCATGTGTAAACCAAGAGCATGCTTACTACATCACAAAGTGAGAAGTTGGTAGATGTGATACAAGGTTATGCATTAAAAAGTCAATAATTAAATTGTGTATTTAACGAACACCTGAACATGACCCTTTAAGGGTTGAAATTTGTAGTGATCATTTTAAATTAATCAATTATTACTAATTTAAGGTCTTTTTTTTTTCCTGTGGTGCTACAGCCCCAATTTGGGCCTAGGCCTACCTGCATGAAACTCTGTTTCACTAGATCTTACACATATGGCAGGACTCCTTGGGTGAGTGATCAGCTCTTCGCAAGGCCTCTACCTGTAGACAAACACAGAAAAACGCACACAAACATCCATGCCCTGAGTGGGATTCAAACCCACGATCCCGGCTTCCGAGTGAGTGAAGACAGTGAACACCTTAGACTGCTCGGCTAACGTGACCAGCAATTTAAGGACTTAATACCTCTTTAATTGCAATACACGCAACAGAATGCAAAAAATAAAAATATGTCTACATTAACATAATGTCACATAGTAGGGGTTGCATGACTGATAATAATGAGTTCTAGATTTGACCATTGGGTTTATTGAACACTTCTTCACAATTACAATCAATTATAGCACTATCGCTAATTTTCACAAATTACTAAGACATGCTCATTCTTCACCTTGTACTCTCAACTACACTCAAGTTATTCTGGGAATCTTGTTATGTAGCCATGGCTCGGACCACACAGAAAACATCCTCCTCTGTTGTCAGAATTATTGTGTAACCTTGCAACTAGCTGTAGAGTGGCCCACAGAGAACACAGTTCCCATTGTTGTATGTTTGTGGGAATGTGTTTACTGAACCGTTGCCTACCAATGCTTTGATCATATCCGTCACAATAAGATTTGTCTTCCTTTTCGGGAAAACATCTATCCTAATACAATCTAGCCTGTCTGCCATGTATGCCATCCAGAACTGTGTCCAACCCATAACATCAATTATCTTATGCTGATGTTGGCAAGCTACTTACTAATCATGTGACAACATGAATCATACTGTCACAAAACATGCATAGCACAAACTAAACTGACCATTTTAATGTTTCTTAAATGCAAAAAAAGTTAAGTGTTGTGTGAACATAAATGTTAAAAGCTCATGTGACACCAGATTCAGAAGAATAAACAGAAACTTTGAAGACAAATGCAAATGGTGGCGCTCTGATCACCCAGGACTCACTGATTACTAATTGATCTGTTACAAATTAGACAGAGGTATGATCTTTCCCACTATGTCTGTCGATAATGCTTCAGATTCACCTTATTATTAAACCATTTACACATCACAGAAATTTTGACACTCCAGACTACATATTCTGGTGCCTCTTCATACCACTCTTCTCAATGAATCACATATTACAAACATCACAAAGTTACGGACATTCACGCATATGAGTATGTGCCGACATATCTTCAGATCACTCTGATTTCTGTAATAAGAGTAATCTGAAGAGACATCAGCACAGGAATATGCTCCCATCCAAAAGTATGGAATAGTATGTCTACAGAACATTCCTTCTGCAGACTAATTATGCATATCACACACAGGAACACAGCTGCTCCAACTATGTATTGTTCACATGTCTTCAGACTCCTCTGTGCGTTGAATGATACAGAGAGAGGAGCATCCATACACCTGTGATGAATGTCACTCATAACACGTCACAGGTATATTGACACTCCCACTGCGTATGCACTGATGTCTCATCAGATAACTCATTACTGAATGGTTTATGATACTTGCCACAAGTACTCGTTTATGGCCAGTTCTCACCACACACGAAGTGTTCAACATTCAGAGCTCCTGGTAAAAAAAACAAATAAAAGGGAAAGAATATTAGGATACATCTTAGTAGGAAGTTGGGTGAGTCTAAAAGCAACAGCCAATAAATCTTTCAAAAGTATTAAAAAAAAATTAAAATATATTGGAACAGTAACAAATCAAAATTGTGTTTACGAAAAAATCAGGACACATTAAATTCCAGTAAAGATTAGTAGCATTCACTTCAGTCTTTTTTGTCTTTCTTCCAGTCTGCTATCTAAAAATACATAAAACTGTGATTTTCACTAGTGCAGATGTGAATGTGAATCTCAATGTCAAATTAAGAACAGAGTATGTTTGAGAAGAATGTGCTGAGGCAGGACTTCAGAGGTATGAAATGATGGTAAATAACGAGGTTCAGAATTTCTACTCTTCACCAAATGTTATTAGGAAGATCAGATCAAGGAGGATGAGGGCAGAGCATGTAGCCAGATGAGAGCTTTCAGAAATGCATGCAAAGTTGCCATAGCTGAAGGAAAGAGACCACTTGCGTGATTAGCTTAGATGGGAGAATAATACAGTAAACCCTCACTAATTCAGTTACAGTTAGTCTGAAATATGAGAAATGTTGTTCACAGCTGAATACATACTTTAGGAGACATGGCATTTAGGAAGGCAGATGAATCACCTGTCTCTTCAGACAAAACTTGACAGTTCCTTTAAACCTGCATTATTACATTCAAAAACAAGCACAACTTCTGTGAATTCTATCAATGAACAAATGCATTGACCTAATCACCTATTTTCTTTTGATATGACAGGACCACACAGAAAATGATCTGTCCACTTCACATATTCATTGCCATGGGAACATGTTCACCAAGCCACTGCCTAGCAATTATAGGNTTCGGGGGGTGGGGGGGGGGGGATGCACAGACAGCAAGGTGAACTCATAAGCTTCCTTTAATCTTTTTTTAAATAAAGGGATCAGCCCATTGCAAGGCAGCTATGTGCACAGGATAATACAAAGACAGAATAAACGTAGACAAACATCCATGCCTTGAGTGGGATTTGAACCCACTACCCCAGTGTTTGAGCGGGTGAAGACAATTCATGTCTTAGACTGCATGGCCACTGTGAACAGCACAACAGTACTAAGGATATACAGGATGAACCAGGACCTCTGTAACAAACTCTGAGGAGTGATAGATCTCACAGGGAGAATAATTTTTGTCAAGCGACCATTGTTCTCTGAAGTGTCATTTATGAGCTATGTGACATTTTTAATTACGAAATGAATTATTCAATTGTTTCTTCAAGTACCTTTGTGGACAGTTTACAGAAGGGGCTCAGAGTGTCCACCCTGAACCTGATTACACTCATTACATTGTCATAGCAGTGACTGTCAGGACTCTGTCGAACACTTCAGGCCAGTGTTGAATTTGTTCAAAAGCAGCGTTTATGCACAATCAGCTCCTCTCTGGTGTCAATTGGGGTGGCGTACATGACACTCTTGACACACCCCCAAAGAAAAAAATCTAGGTTCATTAAGCCCAGTGATCGCGCTGGCCATGCAAATCAAAGACGTCCATTCTTAATGGATGATTGCGAGCAATTGCTAGCGTAATCGACTACGTACACAGATGTAGTGTAAGGGGTGAGGAAAAGGGATCATCACTCAGTTCAACACTGTCAACATTAACGGATTCAAAGTGTAATGGCTGTGTACATGTACCTGCATGATATGCTGCAAACAGGGGTGAATAACTCCTAAATGACGCAGTGGAAGATACAGGTTGCTTGACAAAAATTGATCCTCCCTGCGAGATGTATCACTCCTCAAGTTTGTAGCAGAGGTCCTGGTTCACCCTGTATCTGTCTGTTCAACAGTCTGCCATTTGATATGCGGGCGGCTACTTTGCTGTCCTGCAAATTAATCAAAAGAAAGAAGAGCCCCATACTGAAATAATTATGCAGGATCCTATCCTGCCTCCTCCTTTATGCAATGCCACATGCTGCATGTTACAGAGTCAACAACTGGTCGCAGTGCATGGGGAAACCCACCCCCTCCAATAATAATAATAATAATAATAATAATGTTACAGAGTAGTTTAAAATTCTGAGCCTTGACAAAGTTGTTTTATGCTCTCAGGGTGAGCTGCACTCCTTTAGAGCAGCCTCACCCATGGCTGTACAATTACCAGGCCAGTCTTTAGGCTCATATTTTGCTTTTGGAAATGGATCAATTCTAGGGAATTTTGAAAGCCAATCAAACTGCACCACCACAGGCTGATTTCATCGAAAGGTCTGAACATCAGAATGACAGTTATGAGCCATTTCTTACCCCCTTGCTCATCACCACATATAACACAGGCCACTGACTGTGATAAAAAGTGTCGTGGAACTGAGGGACAGCTCTCCATTTCGGAATGGTATTGATTTCTGCTCACACTCACTATCCCAGCCTCACCAGAGATGCCCACCTCCATAAATATGCTGTCATGGACATGTGGCTGGTAGCTCTACACTTACTGATGGTGGGATATCTCCAGCTGAACTGTCATTTGTCAACAAGGACAGCAGAGATCCCACTGTTAGTCCCAGCTGGATTCACAACCAAGATTCCAGTTGAGCCCCCAGCAACCGTGAGGAGGAATGTCTGGCTTACTCTTCTCCCACAAAGATGCAGGCATGGCCAGTCCCACAGAAAAGGGGTGCATGATTTTAGGACCAGCACATTTTACAAATCCTTTCCACTGGTCTAAGCAAAACTAATTTCTGCTGATCTGTTGTTCATACAGTGACCATTAACTGGCAATAATCTAAGCACATTAGCATTGTTTTTTCATCCTTTCCCTCCTGGGCAACAAATCATACTGCAGAGAAATCAAAATTATTTTCTTTTTCATTTTTAATTTTTGTATGTGTGTATTCTGATTTAAAGTTGTTTCAGCTGTTAAATGAATCGTAATAGCTCATATAATTTAGTGACATGCTAAGGGATGAAAGGCCTGGGTTCCATTCTCAGCAGTGCAAGACTTTTCTCTTCTGCACAGCATCCGGACTGACTCTGGAGCAGACTCAGCCTCCTATCCAATGGGTACCGGGTGCTCTTTTGCCAGAGGTAAAGTGGCAGATAAGTGAAGCTGAGCACTCACCTCCATTTAGCGCCCAGATCAAGAATGGTGATCTATACTTCCACTCTCCCATACACCTTTATGGCATAGTGCTTAATTAAGGGCAGGAACAAATTTACCTTTTACCCACCTTCTTTCCTTCCTCCATCCCCCTGCCCAATATTTGCCTTTTGCATAACTTTCACTTCCCAGTGCTACAGTTCATTGCCAGCCCTGTTTCCAGTCATCACTCTCCCCATATCTGAACCACTTTCTCTCCTACCCTTAAACATGAGGTAGCACATCTCTCTGAAATATTGCTGCTTATCTAGTGAACTACTTGGTATCATATCCCAGAAAAAGATAATCTGCTGAACCAGGTCACTTCAAAACAGACAAGCAAAGCCGGTACTAAATTATACTCTTGAGAGAGAAAATAAAATAAACGGCGGTAAAGTTGTGCTTGTTGCTAGTTACGCACCAAGCATTTTTAATCTAAGTTATAGTTATTAGATTCACGCTCCGTGTGCTTTTACTCCTGGGGAGAAGTGCCATTACCCAGTGGTTGAGCCAAGACCCGGTATGAACGCAGTGCAGACCGAGTAAAATCAATTTCCCGGCAAACTAAATCGATTCCCGGGTCGCAAAGCCGTTCAGTCACCATAATGAGGTAATTCGGAAAAGGGAATTTTGCTACTGATTTCGTGCCCAGTAATTATTTTTACTGTTATGTATGCAGTCTTCTCCTTACTAATACAATTCTTACCTACAGGCGAGCTATTCATTGCTCTTCTGAACTGAAACCTCATCGTAACGCTAACGGATGTGTATTTAAAATATGCTGGAAATTTGATACTGTTCTCGAGGACTGCACCTGGTAATTCCAGTCTATAAACTTTTTCAATAAACATATTATATTTAGCTTTTACGTAATAGGTACAGTTCACGTATATTTATCTATGCTGTGTGATTCCACGAACTCACCCTTGCAAACATTGACCCGGAAATGACGTATGATTCACAGATTATTAGAAACCGTTGATCCATTCGATCCATATCACAGGTCAATATATAACTGAATACTATTGGTTTGATTCGTAAACGAACTATTATGTCATTGATATACCGTATTGCCACCTATTCGAAACCTTGAACGAACTACTGTCTACCATTTTGCCAAGACTACTACCGCCTGGAGCCCGGTCGGTATAAAGATTAACTACTATTCACCCACAGTTCCCCTCCATCAGTTCTCAACGTTAGGAAGAATATTGCAGCTTTGATCCAGAAAGTGCGGAGGAACTTCCTCTTTTTTCAAAAGTGGGTATATGTGAACTGCTTTCAGCTGCATAATTTCAGGCATATACATCTGGAGAAAGTTTCTGAGCAGTAAGGGAAAGGCATTTAAGGCTTAAGTTTGCGCAGTGGCATTCTTTTATAGTTTGCAGCACTGTTGACTGGCCCATGAGTAAGTTATCAACGGTGTGAGGAATTTTCATGAATCATGAACGTGGTTTAACCCTTTAAAGACCGAATTTCTTCCAAACTAAACATAAAAATTCAGTCCGTACCTCACAGGAAACACATTACGTCTCCGCTACAGAGACCAACCGGTTAATGCTGTTTTGGGAAATATCCGATGCTTATTGTGAGAACCATACGAAACACACATACACTGTGTGGGCAGAATGCAGAATTCTAGTATGTTAAACCAGGTCGTGCATATAGTAACCATTAGGTTTCAAAAGGTTAATAAAGATTTATCAGCAAAGCATAACAATTCATTAATCTTGATATAAATCTGAATATTAAGAAGGCAAGTTTTCTTGAAAATTTAAATAATGTATTTCTTGGATATAAATATTCCTGTTGCAAGGTAAACATATAACCTTGTATGTGAACTCGATTTTTGCCTGCGTGAAGGCGTCTGCCAGCTGTTGGCGAAAAGGTGGAACTACGTACTAGAAGCCTGTAAGACTGAGCTCTTGTGCGCGATATTACCGCTTCGTAGAAAAGGTTTCGAACTAGGATGTTCTTTGTTACAGACGTCTGTTCAACCGCATTATGAGTTCAACATATTCTAGGAAATTAGACAGGAAACTGATAATTACTCAGAAAATCCTAGACGAAGCTAGAAGTAGATCTGAAAACGGTGAAAGTCAAAAGTAGCTGCTTCATTGGGAACGAAAGAACCCACTTTGAGAAATATACTTGGTCGTCGACTTAGGACCGGCCGCACATGATAAATAAATTAATAATAAATTATTAAAAATAAATTATAAAGATGATAAAAAGATTAGAAAGGTTAAAAAACACTGTTAATAAGTATATGGCCGACATACGAATAGATCGACTTACGACCTGTCAGTCAGAATGGAAGTCGGTTGTAAGTCAACGACCAAGTGTAGATTGAAATTGGTAAGTGAGCACTATTAATAAATAAGTAATTTAATATTTTATTTTTTTCTTATTTATTTATTTATGTTACATTTTAACTAAAGTTTACAATATTTACTCTGTGTAAAGTATATAATATATCCTTGCTTTAACTCCAGGGAACTGTACCAAATTCCCTGGGACGTCATAAGCCTGTGTCTACTCCTGAGCAGGAACGGCAACTGGTAGACCATTTGAGGGAGCTAGACAAGAGATTCTATGACATTACCAGGAAACAGCTCATGATTTTAGCTTACGAGTTTGCCGACAAGAAAAAGATTGAACATAGGTTCAACAGGACTGGGAGACTAGCGGGAAAGAACTGGGCACTGGCCTCATGCAAGAGGCAAAATCTAACGTCACGCACTCCATAGAACTGTAGTCTAGGGAGAGCAATTGGACTCAACAAAATCCAATGTGAGCAATTTCACAATAATTTGGTCAGTGTGCGCTGAGAAAATGTTTCCAGCTCATCGTAAATTCAATATGGACGAGTCTGGTATCTCGACAGTACCCAATCGTGTCCCAAAGGTCCCAAAAGAGAAAGAAAATCGTCTGCAAAGAGACATCAGGCGAGAGAGGGCAGACAGTAAGTGCAGTGTGCTGCATATTTGTTCCTCCAGCTATGATCCTCGCAAGAAAGCGGATGAAATCAGAACTATTCACAGATGCCCCAGAAGGAACATTGCCAATGGTTTCTGACACTGGTTTTATCAGTACTGAACTCTTCGTAGAGTGGTTAAAGCATTTCAGCAGCTTCGTGAAGCCAACGAAAGAGGATCCAGTTATCCTGATACTGCACAACCACATCGCCCATTGCAGTATTGAAGCTGTTCTCTTCTGTAGGGAACATCATATAACTCTTCTGTCTTTACCGCCGCATGCAAGCCACAGGTTTCAGCCTTCAGATGTTGGCTTTTTCGAGCATATGAAGGAAGCCTACGCCCAAGAGGCTGACAGGTGGCTAGTGAACCATCCTGGCACTGCAATTGCTCAGACCAACGTTGCCAGAATCTTCAGATCAGCCTATGAGAGAGTGGCAAACATGAAAATAACAGTACGTGCATTCGAGTCAACGGGAATTCATCCGGTTAACAGGAATGTCTTCTCAGATGAAGGCTTTGCACCTTCAGAAGTGACATTCTGCCCCATGTGCAGGAGAATCAAGCCACTGTAGAAGACACTCACGTTTCAGTGAACAATGAAAATGGTAATGAAGTGTCCTTAACAGTTGAACCTGCGATAGTTGAGGAGTCACAAGTGTCACCTGCTATGATCTCACCATTACCGAAGGAAGCGAAGACGAAGAAGCGGAAGAGAACGTCTAAAAAGTCATTTATCTCCCTCTCCGTAGAAGAACGCTCATCTAGCAACGAGGAGAGGGCCAAGCAATAACAAACAAGGCAGAAAAGCCTTCAGTAGCGTCGACTTGTTCTGCAGCTATAGAAGAAGAGAAAACTGACTGTCCTGGTTGTGATGAAGCCTATGAAGAGCCTATTACTGAGGACTGGGCGCAATGCAGTGGGTGGCATGAAGACTGTTCAAGCTACGAAGGCTTCGGACTCTTCGAATGTTACGTATGCTAACGCACATTCTTAAAGGACACGTTGCGCATTCTTAGAGGAGAGTGCCTCTAAGAATGCGCATTTGCCATTCGTCAAAGAATGTTTTTAAAGACAAAACATTTAATTTCTGTAACTCCTTTGATGTGTTTTGTATTCTTGAGGCTCGGGAGTCTTGTTTAATAAATGCAGAATTTCATGGGTCACAAAAATGATGTGTTTATGGGCATAAATACATTACGTGCGCAATCTGAAGTGCCTTTCCCCTACCTTTAAAAAGAGCATCTAGGTAACTAACTAATTACATGGAGCTGAGGCCGTATTGAGAAGCAGGCAGTTGTTCAACATCTCAAGAATTTCCAAACATTTTACGTAACCCGAGAGCTCATCACCGTCTTCACAAAAGCCCTTCATTGGTCCCTATTTTGTGTCAGATCAATCCAGTCCATATCATCCCAGAAATCATAAGAATCAATCTACAGGGTGGGCCAGACTCAATTAGGCAGTTTTTGATTAGATGTTATTTTTATTGATAAATGTTAACAATTGCAATGGTTACAAAAATGGAATCGCACACACATAAGTCATCGATTTTCAAGATGCTGGTCAACCTGGGCACCACCTAAGTCAACACAGGCTTGCAGACGCAAAGCAACATTTTCACACGCCTTTCTACACATATTCACCGGAACTTTATTGAACTCCTGAACAATCACCTCACGCAGATGTTTCACACTGTCAATGGAATTCCGGATAAGGTCAGGGTTCTCCTGAAACTTGGTCAGCATAAACTCGGCGAACTCAAGTCGCCTGTCGAAGTCGTCCTCGTTAAGAACATGAATAAGCCGTGGATGGTATGGCGTCAGCTTCATGTCACTCAAAACTCTCCGCAAACTTGTCCTCGAAATGTCCAGTAGGGCCGACAAACGGTGGGTAGACTTCGATTTCTGAGGAGATGATGCCAGTTCCGCAGCAACACGTGCTTGTGTGTCAGCAGTTAGGACAGTTGTCGGCTGACCAGGATATTTGGGATTCAAAGCACTGGCAGTTTCATCTAACTGCTTGTTTATTCGGACGATTGTGTCCCTGTGGACTGCTGGCGGTCCAAACTCTTCCAACATCCTGCGCTGGACTTCTGATACACTGTTAGTAACTGAGAAAAGGCGCACACATTTTACACGCTGCTCGATAGACAACAGTCTACAGGCCATGATGTTTCCTCGATGCGCACTAAGTAGGCAGAGTATTGACCTCGTTCACAGCATACCGTATGATGCTGCCATCTATCGACAACAAAAGGTACTTTCCCATTATCCCGTGTGTTGTTGGATTGGTTAGTTATTAATGATCAAAAACTGCCTAATTGAGTCTGGCCCACCCTGTAAAATCCCCTTACTGAATCGAACTTGACCATATAAAAGTACGCAGATGAGTCATAAAGTTTAAATAACGACTTATTTTTAAGCTCGTCTTGTTGGCTGCACTACTTACTTGCGCGCATATAGAAGCACAAATTCCCTACATGATAGTGAAATAGTTTCTAATTTAGCCGGTCAGTTGTAGTTGTAGTGCCGTTATTAAAATTTTAACATGGTAGCACTGCATGCGTCAAGGGAGAGCAACGTTCAGTGATACGATATTTTTCTGGGATAAAAGTGTACGGGGGCACAAAACCAGGGAAAACATTCGACACAATGTGAAAAAAATGCTTTGCCACAGAAGAGTGTGAATGGATAATCATGTTCAAAATGTTAGCACAAATGTCACTGATGAAGAAAGATATAGAGGCCCGCTCTCATCCACTTCAGAGGGAGACCCTGATCATGTTCCTGTGATGATTCTGGGTAATCGACTGGTGACCACAGGTGAAACGGCGCACCAATCATGGCTCTGCTCATGGATCATCCAAGACCAACTTCGGTTCCATAACATCTGTGAAAGACAGTTCAAAATAATTCGCAGGAGAGCACAAGGGCAATC